ATAAACCTCTGCACATGGTACACTAATAAAAGAAAAATCTGAGTAAAATTAAGTTCCAAATTAATTCAACATAATTCAGTGTCTTGTTTTTCTTATATGAGGTAAGGATTACTGGTGGCCCGGAGGCCTTTCCAGTTTCAGTCGCACCAGGACAGGTGGGCGAACAGGACAGGTGGGCGGCCTCAGTCTGGGCTCTTGTTTTGTTCCCTGTTGTTGTAATTTTTTTGTTAACAGCGGTTTTGTTAACGAATAATAATAAGAAACACCCAAATCACTTCAAGACAGGCTTTGAAAATTTTAGATTTTTCTCGGTTCGTTTCGAACAAAAAAAAAGAATAAATAATTATCAGAATTGGTTCAAGTATTCTCGAGAAATCGGTGAACTTACATAGATAAATAAATGGTGGTCGAATTGATAACCCCCTCTTTTGAAGTCGGTTAAAAAGCGGGATTTTGGTACCTTAAATAGCTCCATAACATTCTATTATTCAAAAATATTTTAACCTTCTACGTAAATGAAGTCGCGGGTAAAATTTGGCGTTATCCCGAACTAAGTATTCCGAAACGAAGTCGCGGGTAAAAGCCCGAAAGTACTTATATACTAACAATTTCGACCATGAAACACAAGTATGCTTTATATCGAAGGGTAGAAAAGCCCGCCCGATACTCGACTTTCGGTCCGGTGGTGAGCCGGTGTAAGGTGGCTCCTGTGCGCCACCCACGGTGTGTGTCCCGATACGATTTGAGACTTTCCCGGGGATGAAATCCCGTCGTATCATCAGGACGGGTACCGGCGAAGGCGGACTTTCGGCGCGCACTGCGGTACCGAAGGTTTCGTGTAGCCGGTGTGGTGGAGCTCGATGGGGTTTAGTCCGTAGTTGGTTTTGCGGGGCGAGTGCCTCGTGCGCCTTTTTAAAGGCGTAGTCTCCTGCGATTAATTGGGGGAGGTGGAGGACCTTGGTCCTCTTCTTCTCTGGAGGCGCCGGAGTCCGACATAGCCCGGTCCATTACCCTCCTCGACCGGATATCCATAATGGCTTCCCCAGCGTTAAAAAAAGGGTAGAAAATCCGCAGTACATTATTATAAAAGCACTTTGTATCTCTTGTTAGGCGACAACATTCATTTGAAGTCTATGGACTTAAGTAACTGGTTAATTAGAAAATTCGTGAACTTGTCAGCTCAACGATTGAAATAAAATGAAAAATATAATGAAAGAACAACCTTAAAAATATATTTTATTTTGAAATAAATCTACAAGAGTAAAAATCTACAAAACAAATGCTTCGTAATTCTGAGGGTTCATTTTATAGTATATATTTAATCAGAAGTGTCAAGTGAGTGGCCCTTTAACAATTCATTCAAGGCAAACATGTGTTGTATTTATATCAGGATGAATTTTAGGTTCTAATCGTTAATGTCATAAAGTTCAATGTTATTTTGCAAGGGGTAAACTGAAACGAGTGGCGCTTGCGTCCTCTGTTGGTTTCCTTGTTATCAACGATAAAACCAACGCCCCTGACAAATATATTATAATAATTTAATAAACAAAGGTACAAATATTGCTTACAAAGGTATTTGGTATATAAACTACGCTCTAATGCAACAAAACACAGTTGTATTTTGATTTGAAAGCAACACAGACCACAATGATCAAGCTGGTGGTGTTGTGCTCCTTTGCTGCAGTAGCAGTTGCGAAGCCCAGCGTCATTGCTCCGGTGGGTCTAGCCGGCTGGGCTGGACACTTAGCCGCGCCATGGGGCTCCCATATCGCAGCACCTTTAGTTGCTGCTGCTCCAGTACTTGGCGCTCATAATTATAGAGGACCTCTTTCATTAGCCCCAGGGCAACCAGCTAATATCTTGGCAGCCGATGGCAGACCGCTGGATACTCTCAGTGTAAACCACGATCGTGCTGTTCATTTTACGGCAAAAGCTCTGGAACATGGTGGTGTGCATCTTTTGAAGAAACGTTCTGCTGTTCTGGCTCCTGCAGTGGCATGGTCTCACGCCGCCCGAGTCGACTGGCCTGCCGCACGTTTGGTCGCCCATGCACCTATTACTCCACTTGGGCTGGCCGCTCCTGTTGGTCATTGGGGTTTGGGACACGCTGCACATTTGACTCATATTTGGTAAATATTGTACGAAACCTAAAGTAGTCTTTGATATGTACCCACAAATTTAAATAAAGAGAGTTACTAAACCATATCATTTTATTTCTATACTTATATTACTCCACTTAGCTTACTCCAAGGCGACCGCATACAGTAAAGTGTGTTATAAAGGTTCTTTTGAAGTTATACTTAAAGAAGTATTTTATAACAAGGAACTACATATATAATAAGGATTTTTTTATAACGCGCCTAAAGAGACGCGTTATAAAAAATTTATAAGAGTGAAATTTTACGATGCGAACTTGGCGAGTCTGAATATAGCCGCAGGTGAACTTTCCGAACCGTACCGAGAATTACCGAATTTATACGATGTCAAGAAAAGGGATGTCCAATATGCGTGTTTGAGGATGTTGTTTAATCGTTTCTTTTTCAAATTGATTAAAATTTAAATAAAAAAAAAGAAATAAATTTAATAAAAATAAGGTATAACTTCTTACGCGCGTACATAAGTACACGTACCCTTTTTTATTTTATTTTTTGTGGACGAGTTCACAGCCCACATGGTGTTAAGTGGGTACCGGAGCCCATAGACATGTACAACGTAAATGCCACCACCCTGAGATATGAGTTCTAAGGTCTCAGTATAGTTACAACGGCTGTCCTACCCCTTAAACCAAAACGCATTACTGCTTCACCGCAGGAATAGACGGGGTGGTGGTACCTACCCGTGCTCAGAAGAGGTCCTACCACCAGTAATTACGCAAATTAGAATTTTGTGGGTTTCATTTCTATTACACTAAGTCACTCGTCAACATTTGTTGAATACTTATTTCATTAGAAAAATTGGTACCCGCCTGCGGGATTCGAACATCGGCACACATCGCTTAATACAAATGCACCGGACGTCTTATCCTTTAGGCTACGACGACAATATTTCTAATTGAAATAAGACATTGACATTGATTATCTATAATATATGTTATCGTACTTATGGTCCATCTGGTCTTTAGTGTTATCTGGATTATCAAACATCAGGAATGCTTGTTTCGAAAGAACGACAAAAAAACTTTTTTAAATTTAATTTACTTTAAATTTTATTAACTTTGTAAATCAACGAAATATTAAGTAGTTTTAATAGTTGTATAAAGTGGTTTAATAACATTATTATATTTTCTGGGTGTGTTTTATTATGGGCCTATTTTATTAATCTTGTCATAAGTATTGTTACCAGGGCAATTTTTTCCATAACATGAAACCTTTTACCGCGTTTTTGTCTTGCCTGTTGAATAACTTATCCCTAAATTTATCCTTCAGCGAAGGTTCCTGAGCTGACGGACTAGAGCTACTGTCAGGGTCTTCATGTCGGTTTCAGAAGTCATAGCCGGTAGGACGCATTGGTCGAAAAATGTTATGTTTATGTTGGCGACGAAAAGTCTGCATGTACTTTGCTAAATGTGGGCCAACTGAACTCTCCCCCTTCTTCCTTAACTTTCCTTTAGCCTCTTTCTTCATAAGTCTCCTTTTCCAATTTATTTTTGCCCAGATGCAACATCTGCCCGAGGTATACATTTTCCTGAGCAGCTTTAAGCGGGCAAAACTTTATGACGTATGTACATGGGCTAATGTAAACCATAGAACATTATATGTAGTTTTATCCATGTTCATTCGTGGGGAGTCCAATTCCTCATGAAGAATCTGCTAAGCCATTCAGCATCTGTAACGATTCCGAGTTAAAGGCTTTAAAATGTACAAGCCGCTAGTGTGAGAAGAATTGGCCATTAATGTTTACGCCCACCTATTTTAGTCTAGCGTCTTAAACATATCCTCTAATTTTCGGAGAAATGACATTCCCTTGTCTCACTCTCCCACGCAATTGGATAGGGTTAGACTGCTGGCTTTGTACTTGAATATCTATGTGGCTGAGATATATCGTCTCAACACCTGTACACTGTGACAGTTTATTTGGCATTGTTGTAGGTACCAGTACAATCAGAGTCTCGAGTAGTTGAAAGTCCTATCATGGTCCTCGAATACAGGGGTCATTAATACTCTGTGGACTTTTGTATAATCTGTTGCACTATGTGTCGTGCTATTTTCGCTCCAAAGCCCGGCCTGCTCAGGGGATTAGATTTCATCGAGCCTTCCTTCTAAACGATTTGTGTTGACCGTTAACCACAACTTATTTACAAGGCTCAGGAGGGTAACCGGTCTAATATTCTTCAAGAGTGTTTGACCCCTCTTTGAAGAAGCAGACAACAATACGATTCGAAACTCTCCCGCGGTGATTGACATATTTATAGAGCAAAAAGAATAGTGGTGTTCCTCTCGACTTCAGAAATTCAGTTGTTATACATAAGTTTACCTCTAATGGTTTTTTAATCCTGTATTTAGTCGTGAGAATATTCTTGGAATATGATCTTAAAATTAATTATAGAAAAGCCAAACCCAAGACAAATACTAAATTTGTATTTATTTCAAAAAAAATTTTCAAAACGATGTTGAAGCTTGTGCTTGTTGTACGGGATGTAAAATTATCTTTCTAGATTCGTAAAGTGGAATTATGTAAATCAAATAGATATACGTGAAAAAGAACTATCATTTACTAAGCCAAGCATAAATTTGACGTTTTAGTAAGTGTATGTGTCCATTGTTCCAACAATGTAGTAGTTCCAATACATGAAAATGAACGACTGTTTCGCGGCGGAGATATTCAGGATTATTCAGGATAGGACTTAGCAGTTATAGTAAACATTTAAAATTTTGTAAGTTTGGTTTTAATACCACGTTGCATCTTCTTGCAAGATTTGTTAGGTACATTTCCTTTACATAAATTTTTGTTTACTTTGTGAAAAGACTAGCATTTTACGGGGAAAATATTAAAAGAGTGCGGCCTTGCGTGAATTATTTATTTGCAATTGTGGACAATATACGCTTGTTTCTACCAGTGCACAATGGGGCGAGCAGCGTAGGTTAGAGGCGCATAGTGGGCAGTAGCGAGGGGAGCGCTGTAGGCGATGTGAGCGGCCGGGGTGATCAGTGGTGAGTGTGCGACGGCGACAGTGCTGATGGGTGCGATGATGGCAGAGCGCTTCTTCAACAGGTGGACGCCGAGAGCTTTGCTGGTGTAGTGCGCCGCGCGGTCCAAGTTAACGTCGAGAGTGTCGAGGGGCCTGCCGTCGGCGCCGAGGACGTTGGCGGGCTGGCCGGGGGCAAGGGACAGCGGCCCTCTGTAGTTGCCGAAAAGCGCGATCAACGGTGCGATGTATGCAGGCGGTGCGGTGTAGGTGATGGGCGCCACGGGTCCGCCATATACGGCCGCCAACATGCAGGACAACACCACCAGCTTCATCATTCTGTAAGTGGTCTGTGTTGCGTGTGTAATTCTCAACAACTGATGCACAGATGTGGACGATGTCGCATTTATACGTAATTGCATCTTGTGCTAAACCGATTAAATAAGTCGCTGTCGTCGGAATATAATGTTGACCATGAAACTACTTTTGCATGTTTTATAGTTCACTTGTTGGGGAATTCAGTTCTTTGTTTATAATGTATAATGTATGACCGTCGTTAAGGTTCCTAGAACTGGAATTAATAATGTGTGTAAATTATATTTGTTTGTTTCGGTGACAATTTGGAACTATCGAATGTTTGTTTAAAATCGTAAATTGATTTGATCTTGTATGGTTAGAATTACTTTGAAGTAGTAAATTAATTAACTACTAGATGATGACCGAGCTTTGCTCGGCTTTTTTTTTATAACGCCATCTTGCTGTATCTTTAAAGCAGTAAAAATAGTATTACTATTCGCCAATAGAAGTGGGTAAGAGCCATAAAGTTGATTGTCGATAAAGCTCATTATTGAAAACACGAATAAAACAACATTTTCTGAAAATAAATCGTAGCTAGATCGATTTATCGCCCCCGAAATCCCCTGTATGCTAAATTTTATGAAAATAGTTGGAGCCGTTTCCGAGATTCAGATTATATATATACAAGAATTGCTCGTTTAAAGGTATAAGATTATTGGTCTGTCCAATGATTATTAACTGATTCGGGTATGTGATTTCTTCGAAATGGCTATTGATTACGACCCAGATTTTCCAGTCTTATTTATAATTGCCAAAGTCCCTTTTATTTTATTATTGTTTAGATGGACGGACAAGCTCACAGCCCTCCTGGTGTTAAGTCGTTACTGGAGCCCATAGACATCTACAACGTAAATGCGCCACCCACCTTGAGATATAAGTTCTAAAGTATCAAACCGAAACGCATTACTGCTTCACGGCAGAAATAGACGGGGCATGGTACCTACCCGTGCGGACAGGTCCTACCACCAGTAATTACGCAAATTATAATTTTGTGGGTTTGATTTTTATAACACGATGTTATTCCTTCACCGTGGAAGTAAATCGTGAACATTTATTTGTTAAGTACGTATTTCATTAGAAAAATTGGTACCAGCCTGCGGGATTCGAATACCGTTGCATCGCTAGATGCAAATGCACCGGACGTCTTATCCTTTAGGCCACGACGACTTCAAACACCACTGACAATAAGTACAATAATTACAGGAAAAAAAATTACCAACTAAAATTTTTTGCCGACAGTTGTCGTCTTTAGAATGTGTTATTTATTTACTATTTTATGTTCCAATTAATCGAGAAATTTCAAGACACATTACGTAATTTCGTTTAACGTGAATGTAAAGAGAGAGAGTAAAGAGGATTTTAATAGATACGCAGTCTAACAAATTTCTAGTGACATACATAAGAATTCGTAAGCATTGCTTAATGTGCTGCCGCGATGAATTTCATTACTGTAATCTAATTGCGTATTAATCAAATACGATTTACAGTGAGGCAGCATTATCTTTCGCTGGATGATTTGCGATTTCATTTCACTTTTAGTTTTAAGATGGTTATAAAGAATGGGGTTTTTTTTTTTTTTTTTTTATTGCTTAGTTGTGTGGACGAGCTCACAGCCCACCTGGTGTTAAGTGGTTACTGGAGCCCATAGACATCTACAACGTAAATGCGCCACACACCTTGAGATACTAGTTCTAAGGTCTCAGTATAGTCACAACGGCTGCCCCACCCTTCAAACCGAAACGCATTACTGCTTCACGGCAGAAATAGGCGGGGCGGTGGTACCTACCCGTGCGGACTCACAAGAGGTCCTACCACCAGTAATTACGCAAATTATAATTTTGCGGGTTTTTATTTTTATTGCACGTTCCTTTATCGCTTCAAAAGCTATAATGTCAGGTTTTTTAATTGCATAAATGAGCTCACGATCGGCCTGATGTTAATTAATTACACATCGCAATGTTGATTCCATCTCCCCCCACATACATTTGGACGATTTTATTTTTAAGAAATAAATTCCCAAATACTGTAATAAATTCCCAAATAAGGTATAATAATCAATAAAGCTTTTTATAGACATCTTATTGTTTTTATCGATTCAAAAAATAAAATATCTTTTGAGACACCGTGTACTTTAACGCATGGCAACTTAGTGTCAAAATTATGCAAGATGGTTAGTACCTAACAGTGCGGGCTTACGATAAGTTTTATTATCAGTACAGTAACCTGTCAACTTCATTTTGTAATAAATTTTTGTTAGGCACACTATTATAATATTACACGTATTGGACTTACGTTTCACGCTAATGAGTATTTTTACGGGAACTTCAACAATGTGCCTTATCTTTAATGGCATTAGGCTGAAATTATTGAGGCACGTAGACAAAAAGAATTAGTATTATGTGAGGGTATTTTGAGGACAAGATATTTATACTTTGGCAGTAGCTAGAGGTGATCGGGGTCGCTTACCTGTACCCACTAATGAATACCCGCTTAAATAATTTATATTTATTGCTTTTATGGTTGAACGAGCTTCAGGGCTTAGACGTTGTAAAGTGGTTATCTTTGTTTTTTCTTACCTAAGCTGATAGTCTAGAGTCTAGAGAGACCATGTCAGCGTCGCTAGTCTAGTAGGTGAGCTCACAGGGCTCAAACCTGACGATGTTGCTAATACGAACCCTAGCAAGAGGCGTGCTTCGCAGAATCTACCACCGGATCGGAAATGCGATCCACTGAGAAGATTCGGCGAGAGACTCAGTGGGCTGTGTCTGTGGGTCAATTTACTCGCCGAGCCCTTCGTTGCAAGTGACGGGTTCGACGAGAACGATGACCGCAGTGATTACCGAAAATTATATCACAACATGATTATTGCATCCACTTTAAAACTCGACTTCGAAGTCCTAATTGTATTTTATAACGGCTGTCCCACCCTTCAGATTGCTTGTGGTATTAGGGCGGGAATATGCAGTGTCTTCCCGTGCCGGCCTACAATAAGCCTTGTTAACGATTAGATTCGGTAGCAAAGAAACAAGTAGTTGCAATACAATTATATTTTCGGCACAAATCGCAATTTGTCCCAAATCTGTCCGTTCATATTTTATTATGAAAAAAAAATTGCACTCTCGGCCACTATTTTCTAATGGAGGTTCGATTTTTCTTTCTGGGGAATCACGATTCTCAGTAATAAGATATAATGTGATAAACAAGCAGGAGTTGTTGTATAGTAAAATTTTTTTTGCATGCATTCTCACGGATCGTTTGGAACCTCTGGGTCTGCGGAGGGACTTCGGTTCCCTCTGTATTTTGTACCGTATGTTCCATGAGAATTGCTCTGAGGAATTGTTCGAGATGATACCGTCATCTCGCTTTTACCATCGCCCCGCCCGCCACTGGAGTAGAGTTCATTCATACTACCTGGAGCCATTGCGGTCATCCACAGTGCGTTCCCAGAGGTCTTTTTTGCCACGTACCATCCGGCTATGGAATGAGCTGCCCTCCACGGTGTTTTCCGAGCGCTATGACATGTCCTTCTTCAAACGAGGCTTGTGGAGATTATTAAGCGATAGGCAGCGGCTTGGCTCTGCCCCTGGCATTGCTGAAGTCCATGGGCGACGGTAACCACTCACCATCAGTGGGCCGTATGCTCGTCTGCCTATAAGGGCAATAAAAAAAAAGAGTGGTTTTTTGTTTTGTGTGAAGCAGCTGTGGTACGGTTTTATTGTGGCATATCTCAGCTAAAACCTTCGAGCTTGATTTTCGGGAAAACTAATTATGTAGTACTAATAGTGTAGTTTTTTTGAATGTCAAGCATTTCGTCAAATACCAGGATTATAGATAATGTATAGTAATTTCATTATGCATTATGTATGTTTTTGTCATAGTATTCGTTTGGAAAATGACATTAAATTATACCACACCAAACTGCTTTGATAAAGCAAAGAAAATGTAGCGCAATTTTGTGGTAGGCAGGGAGTTCGTTATGCCCATGGCATTGCTGACGTCTGTGAGTGACGATGATGCTTAGCTGACTATAGAGGCAATAAAAAATCGTCTTTTGGCAAGTGATTGAATTTCTTTTTTGTACGAGTGACGTTTCAATTTTAGGTTTTCGTAATCATCACTTAAGAGACAAAATGTTTTATACATTTTCATTTGTTAAATAAATCGCATATGTATGTTTTTTTTTGTGTTTTTAGGCATAACGCCCATCTGATGTTGAGTAATCATGGTCGCTCATGGGCATGAGCAATGCAAGGATTGCAGCCGAGTCTCGGATTACTGATATTACGTAGATCCCTCCAATGAACAACGGAGGTGCAAGATGCCACTTTAAAAACAGTTATTAAAATTTTAAAATAATCATAACTTTAACTATCGCCGAAATGCTGCGACCTTTTGATTTAAATGTATGCAGGATCCATAAGGGTCATACGTATGATAATTTATGTGATTTCATTATCGACATTCATTCATTCATACAACTCAATTGAATTTTAATTTAACGTTAAATATGACTATTTAAAACATACCAGTGTGCTTAGTGCGAGTTTTTTAACGTTCTCGATAGCGTAAAAGTTAGCTCATATTTGTATGGAATGGGATCGTTTGCCTACGTTTGCCGCTAGGGGCGCTGTTCCAACTGCATACAAAATTGGGTTAACTTTTACGCTATCGAGAACGTTAAGAAACTCGCACTAAGCACACAGATTAAAGGTTTTAAAAATGATTAAGTACATACATTGAAAATGAATTTGTCNTTTTTTAACGTTCTCGATAGCGTAAAAGTTAGCTCATATTTGTATGGAATGGGATCGTTTGCCTACGTTTGCCGCTAGGGGCGCTGTTCCAACTGCATACAAAATTGGGTTAACTTTTACGCTATCGAGAACGTTAAGAAACTCGCACTAAGCACACAGATTAAAGGTTTTAAAAATGATTAAGTACATACATTGAAAATGAATTTGTCGTTTATTTTGTTTCGGATATTTACATTTTGTCAACTTACTAACAATTCGATTAATCTACCAGTGCACAATGGGGCCAGCGGCGTAGGTTAGAGGTGCATAGTGGGGAGTAGTGAGGGGAGCGCTGTAGGCGATGTGAGCGACCGGGGTGATCAGTGGTGAGTGTGCGACGGCGACGGTGCTGATGGGTGCGATGACGGCAGAGCGCTTCTTCAACAGGTGGACGCCGAGAGCTTTGCTGGTGTAGTGCGCCGCGCGGTCCAAGTTAACTTCGAGAGTGTCGAGGGGCCTGCCGTCGGCGCCGAGGACGTTGGCGGGCTGGCCGGGGGCAAGGGACAGCGGCCCTCTGTAGTTGCCGAAAGGCGCGATCAACGGTGCGGTGTATGCAAGCGGTGCGGTGTAGGCGATGGGCGCCACGAGTCCGCCATAGACGGCCGCCAACATGCAGGACAACACCACCAGCTTCATCATTCTGTAAGTGGTCTGTGTTGCGTGTGTAATTCTCAACAACTGATGCATTTTCTTCGCCACTACAGGTTTATATAGTCGTATTTAGATTTGCGACACACAGATAGTCTGTAGGAAAACATCGTTGACCATGAAGTGACTACTTTTGTTTTAAATCTACATAAGTAATTGAAGTTCATTTCGTTCGCTTGAAGCGTGCGACATTTACGGAGCTTATTTTGCACTCACCAGTGCTTTTGTTGTTGATAGTATCACTTTATTTCATGTTATTGTAACCAGGCCACATTTCCTTGTGACTATCGCGTAATACACTTACAATTGTTATGTATATAAGTTATATTATTATTATTTTATTTTTTATTACCCTTGACGAGCATAGGTATCGCTCGATATTAATGCACCAGGCGTCCTATCCATTAGGCCCCGATGACTTCAAATTATATAATAATGACGGTTTTTCCATCTTTTAATCCAAATCGCTTGACTGCTTCGCCGGAGAAATGAACACGAGGGTCGTCGGTGCGAGTTCATTATTTTGCGATTATGCATAAATTCTATAAACACTATTATTTAACGGGTTCTTATTACGTTTTAACTGTCAACGTGTTCCGAATATTTTAGAGCAGGTAAAAAAATATATATATAATAAACAATGTATTCTAAGAAATACCAACATATCGTTTTCGAAATATCAAGTACAATGTCATTGTTTAAATATCATTCAGAAATAAAAACAGAATAACGAAAGAAATATTATATGAGAGTATGAGAGAATAATAAAAAGTGAATTGTAAGTTTGTGTGTGTAGAAGAGATAAAATGATAAATTCTCTTAAATTTCTTCTGTTAAAGCCAGAATTCGTGGAAACCCCATTAGGAAGCAAAAATCTTATTGCGAGAAATGAAGATTCCCGCTATGACTCTGTCGCGTATTATAAAACAAGACTTGAAGCTCGGTGCTTATCGTCGATATGCAGGACATGCCCTAAATCAATCTTTACAATTAAAGATAGTGGATCGATCAAAACGCCTTCTGTCGCGATACGCAGGTGAAAGGCACAGAAATATCCTCTTTACCGATGAAAAAAATTTCACGATTGAAGAACACTACAATAAGAATAATGATAAAGTGTACGTAAAGAAGCTGCTCAACTGGTCGGAAAGTTACAACGTGGTTATCATCCTGCGTCAGTGATGGTTTGGTGGGGCGTGTCTTATCAAGGAGTCACAAAACTACATTTTTGTGAAAAGGAGTGAAAACTTCAGCCAAAGTGTATCAAGATGCAGTCTTGGATCATGTAGTGAAACCTCTCAGCAATGCACTTGTTAAAAATATACCGTGGACTTTCCAGCAGGGCTCTGCACCTGGTCACAAGGCACAAACTACCCAAGCTTGGCTTGAAACCAACGTTCCGGGATTTATAAGAGCTGAAGACTGGCCCTCATCTAGCCCAGATCTTAACCCTTTAGACTTCAAATTATGGTCAGTTTTACATGGCCTGCTCTAAACGAAACGGCGACATAGTCTCTTAAAAAAATATTTGGAGCAAGCAGTGGCGAAATTTCCCTTGGAAACAGTGCGTTATTCCATAGATTCGTGGCCAAACAGGTTAAAAGCCTGTATAAAAGCCAAAGGTGGCCATTTCAAGTATAATATTTTATTTATTTATTGCTGAGAGTTAAATAAGTATGTAGGTATAAATTTTTGTAATATCTTTACTTTATTTCATTAAAAAAAATGCATTTTCATTTGTAACAGAACTTATGGCTGGACTAGTACAATGAAAACGGGAGATTAAACCGTGGAAGTTTTTTTCTTTTTTTTTTTCTTTTTTCTATTGATTGGGTGGGTGGGGGAGCTTACGGCCCAGTGGTTACCGGAGCCAATAGACATCTACACCGTTAATGCCGCCACTACCTCGAGACATGAGTTTTAAGTCTCAGTTTTAATATTACAACGGCTGCCCCGCCCTTCAAACCGAAATACGTTACTGCTTCAGGGCAGAAATAGGCAGGGTATAGGTACCTACCCGTGCGGACTCAAGGTGTACTACCACCAGTAATAACGCAAATTCAACAAAGGAGGACGTTCTCAATTCGACTGCATTTTTATATTGTAACAAATATCAAATATTGTCCATTTCCAGTAATTATTCCTTGTAGTCTGTACAAAAGCACCTCATTGTATTTCATGAGTAAAAATCTTTTTAATAACTGACTATACCTACTGTGCTAATTTATTGAGTAAAACAAGTTTTTTATATATTTTAAGAGAGACCCTTATGTGTTTTTATAGCCTTTAATGACAGATGTGTGTAAAATCCAACAGGAAACACCTGGAGGGAAATTGATTCTAAAGCCGGGGGTATGTGAAAAACTGCCGAAAAAAAAAGCCGAAAAAAGTGCACAAAATTTTAAGTTAAACTGAGATTTCGGTTACGAAAAAGCCCAGGTACAGATTTTGGTCGATAAATCAAACGCAGACGTCATGGGTGGTGATCATTTTCAAAAAAAGAAGGAGAATATTTCGAGAAATCTGTTCGTTTTTTTAGTTAATCCTGAACCAATCTTTATGTTTTTATTCAATTGGTTGAGGTCTATTTGATGTTACAGAATTCCTCTTTCGTGCAATTATGGAACGAAGACGTAGTTTATTCGAAATATCTTACAATGTGTAGATGCTCTAAGATTTATGTAGTGTCATTGATTTGAATGTTACGCATGTGATATGATATTCATATAGTAAAACACATTTTAAGGATTTATTCAGATTTTATTTCGTTTTAATTAATTACATTAACAAATGAAGATGGTCGCAGTAGTGTCATCGTTGTAGTATTACGTAAAACCGCTTTGTCGGAATCACTGTGTTTGTTATTCTTCATTTCCACTTAAATAACATGAGTTGAAATTGGAGCAGAGTACACCAGAGGTGTGTAAGATGTAACAAGAGGAGCGCCGTGCAAATTGTAGTTGGATTGATGAGAAAAAACTCCTGGCAGAGCGGCGGTGTAAGTAGTAGGTGCGGTGTAAGTTGTGGCCAGAACGGGTGCAGACCTCTTCTTGATCAGATGAGTTGCGACGGGAAGTGATGCAGTCGATGCGATCGGCACGGTCTGCACGAAGGGTGTCGTGTAGGTAGTGGCTCCAAGAGGGCCACTTGCGATGTAGGTGTTGGGAGTGATGTAGGAGCTAGGAGCGATGTAGCTCACGGGCCATTGTGGAGAGCGCTTCTTGATAAAGTGAGCGGAATACGCAATAGGTTGCGAGATTAAAGGAGTCGAAGAAACGTAGGAGGTCGAAGCCAGGAGAGGAGTTTTACCGTGGTAGGTGGTTGCTACGACGGGAGAAATAGCAGAGTATGCTACAGGAGCGATATACGCAGCATGCGCTAAGGGAGCAGACCGCTTCTTGATGAAATGAGTGTAGCCATACGGTGTAGAGTAGACCAAGGGTGAGGGATGCACGACGCTGCTGGCCAGCTTACTGATGGTTGTAGATCCCGGAGAAACCACAGTTGTTAGGGACGTCACGGGAGGCGTCAGGAAGACTCCAGGCTCAGCAGCCGCGACAGCTAATAAAGCACACACTATCAACTTGAACATTGTGATCTAAGTTGTTTGTTTAATGAACTGATACCTTAATATATGCAACACTTCGTATTTATATCAAAGGTACATGTTACAAAAGTTAAACACGATCTCGTTTTGCAAACCGGTGCGGGCTATGAGCGCTTCCAATAAGTCCAGTGATATTTACACGTATCTTAATAAAGGATTAAAGCAAATAAAAGGTTAAGTTAATTGGTATTTCACACAGTCACCTATATGTCAATGTACATGTATAATATTTTATAAGAAACACAGATACTTACGTACGTCGACTATATTTTTAATTCTTTTCAGGAGACAGTATTGATGTGTGTGATAACATAGCATTATACATGCTGGTGTGGTGGGATATAGCGCAAAAGTTTTACCATACCATAATGGATTTGAAGTCATCATGGTCTAAATGATAAGACGTCCGGTGCATACGTGTTGAGCGATGTACCGGTGTTCCAATCTCAGGCGGGTATAAATTTTTCTAATGAAGTAAGTACTCAACAAATGTTGACGAGTGACTTAGTGTAATAAAAATGAAACCCACAAAATTCTAATTTGCGTAATTACTGGTGGTAGGACTTCTTCTGAGTCAGCACGGGTGGGTACCACCACCCCGTCTGTTGCTGCCGTGAAGCAGTAATGCGTTTTGGTTTAAGGGGTAGGACAGCCCTTGTAACTATACTGAGACCTTAGAACTTATATCTCAAGGTGGGTGGCGCATTTACGTTGTAGATGTCTATGGGCTTCAGTAACCACTTAACACCAGATGGGCTGTGAGCTCGTCCACCTACCTAAGCAATAAAAAAAGAGTTCTCAAATGTAATACGTAAATAATAATAATAAAAAAAAACTATAATATTCCTAATGAAAAACGTTTAAAGCGAAAATATAGTGAGAAAAGTACAAAAGAAATATATGCGAAACCAAGAAATTTATAAGTTCCGATCACTAACATGATGCACTTAAATTTTCATAGTTTTATTTTCGTAATGTAATTGCGTTTATAACTAAGTTGATGAACTGACCTGAAAATCTACTGATCGGCCTCGTCCATTGTAAATATCAACTTCCTGGTGCCTCGCACCGGTTTGCAAATAATGTCGCCCTTAACTTTTTTTTATAATATTCTATAAATACGAAGTGTCGCACAGTACAAGTCATCAGTCGATTCTAGTAGACCACAATGTTCAAGTTGATAGTGTGTGCTTTATTAGCTGTCGCGGCTGCTGAGCCCGGAGTCTTCCTGACGCCTCCCGTGACGTCCCTAACAACTGTGGTTTCTCCGGGATCTACAACCATCAGTAAGCTGGCCAGCAGCGTCGTGCATCCCTCACCTTTGGTCTACTCTACACCGTATGGCTACACTCATTTCATCAAGAAGAGGTCTGCTGCACATGCTGCGTATATCGCTCCTGCAGCATACTCTGCTATTTCTCCCGTCGTAGCAACCACATACCACGGTAAAACTCCTCTCCTGGCTTCGACCTCCTACGTTTCTTCGATTCCTTTAATCTCGCAACCTATTGCATATTCCGCTCACTTTATCAAGAAGCGCTCTCCACAATGGCCCGTGAGCTACATCGCTCCTAGCTCCTACATCACTCCCAACACCTACATCGCAAGTGGCCCTCTTGGAGCCACTACCTACACGACACCCTTCGTGCAGACCGTGCCGATCGCATCGACTGCATCACTTCCCGTCGCAGCTCATCTGATCAAGAAGAGGTCTGCCCCCGTGCTGGCGACAACTTACACCGTACCTACTACTTACACCGCTGCTCTCCCAGGAGTTTTCTCTCATCAGTCCAGCTACAATTTGCACGGCGCTCCTCTTGTTACATCTTACACGACACCTCTGGTGTACTCTGCTCCTATTTCAACTCACGTCGTTTAAGTGGAAATAAAAATAAGCTAGTTATTCTTAACTTTTCAACAAAAGAAGTCATCGATAAGGGCCAAGAGCTATAATTTCTATAAAGCATTAATACATGATTTAAGTGACAATCACAAAAAATGTAATAAAGTTAAACTATGGTACTAAGGACACAGAATTATCATTACCAACACGATCGAATTATTTACATGTAAAAGTTAAAACAATAAATAAATTTTAATATTCAACATTACGGGTATTTTTATTATACAAAATAAATATTTTACAGATACATACAAGATTTTAAATAACTACTAAATCACTTACTTAATAAAATCAACTATATTTTTAATGGAATAAAACTACACATTAATAAAAAAAATTGAAAAATCATTGAATTTTTTTATTGAATAAAAGCACACTTTAATATATATTTTTTTATTGAACTTGAACAATTCGAAAAGTTACAATGCTAACGGCGACGGTGGTAAACATTAACCATCAGATAGCCTTAAGCCTGCATTTGATCGTAAACAATAAAAAGGTATTGTTAATTCAGATTCATGGCACTGGGAAAGTAATTTAAAGGTTCCAATAATCAATTATCAATAAAATACATTTTTTCTACAGCAGATAAATCCAAATTACACTTCATTCTACGAAATATGAAGACTAAATAAATAAAAATATTGGCGACTCTTCCTGGTCCGGGAGCTTGTTATATTTTTAATTTGCATGTTTATCTTGTTTCACGCCTTCTCCTGTATCATCAACATCTTTCATTCTGTCAAAGGTTCGGCTTTGAACTTTTTGTAGGGAGACTGGATGTTCTAACGCCCTTGACAACGGTAAATTGTGAAAATATCCAAAAGCTATCGGTGTCAGGTATGTCTCAGTAATCACTGGCGAGAGTATCGTTTCTTTAGACCCGGCTTTTCCCGAAAATATAGACGTCACTGGAGCATAAGATAACGGCGCTGATATAAATCCTGGAGAATGCTGAATATCGATACGTGATTGATGAGAAAAGGCACTCGGAGCCGCGAAGATTAGCTGGGCAAGACGACCTTGTATAGAACACACGAGACACACAACAAAAACCGGACTAATCATCTTGAGCAAGTTTATTTGACGTAATGCTACGTGCGGCAGATGTAACGTAGTTTTTATAGCCATGTAACGGTTGTTGATACGTAGCAACGACGCAACAGGTCAAGTTCTCGGTCGATTCTTATTGGACGAGTTGTTGCGTCACAGCGCATGCCTTCAGGGCACTGGCCGAATCGAGATGAACACGATTATGCATATTAACTTCATGGTGTATGTTAATGTTTATTATGTTTGTTTATTATAATGTGCATTACAAATTAAAAATCAGTGTTATATTTATAATCGTTATTAAATTTCGTTTTCATTTCCGAGTTCTATTGCCGTGCAATCATTGAATGTATATCGACAAAAAGCGAATTCCGTATTTTTTTTGNCTGGCCGAATCGAGATGAACACGATTATGCATATTAACTTCATGGTGTATGTTAATGTTTATTATGTTTGTTTATTATAATGTGCATTACAAATTAAAAATCAGTGTTATATTTATAATCGTTATTAAATTTCGTTTTCATTTCCGAGTTCTATTGCCGTGCAATCATTGAATGTATATCGACAAAAAGCGAATTCCGTTTTTTTTTTGTCGCCACAATCACAGCGTTCAATACCATGGCAAATTTGTTATTTTATTGATCCTGTCACTATGAATCACACGTAGTATAAGAAGGTGTCAGTCGATGTCTGGAAATTAGTCGAGTAGTCTATTCGGAACTTCAAGCATTTGACATGTTTGGTCTCATTTCGTTTTTGGCCTGCGTTGCAGCTTGCAGCAGTCATGCTGTGCTACCATTAGTAGCACCGGCCGCGATTCATTCAACGGCGTTTGTGGCTCCTTATCCGGTGCACGGGTATGGCGGACATGGATGGCTGGGACACGGATTGCTGGGATACGGATCGCTGGGACACGGACTGCCGGCTAAGCCCTTTGGACATCACGTTCTGAAGCGATCGCCACACCTGGTTGCTCCATTGGCGCATGCTGCCCACGTGGCTCCCATAGCCCATGTAGCCCCAGTAGCTGTGTCTCATCAGTCACGCCTGGACGTCCATACGTCTCCTGCTGTGGTTGCTGCCCCTATATTGCCCGTTGTGAAACCGATTGTCGCGCCTGTTATACAGGCTGCTCCTCTTCTAGGCAAGTCTTTCGTCGCCAGTCCCGTACTCCTCGGCGCTGGACATCTTGGTGTTGGAAGCCTTGGTGGTGGATATTTTGGTGCTGGACATCTTGGTGGCGGACATCTTGGTGGCGGCTATCTTGGTAGCGGACATCTTGGTGGTGGACATCTTGGCGGTGGATATCTTGGGGCTGGAAATCACGGTCATTATGCATCGTTACATCCCTATTGAGGACACCACTAGAGCAATGTTTTTGTATAATACGCTATAAAAATCAATTTAGTTTGTTAACAGTATTTTGAGAGATCGCATAATAATAAAAATTTAATTTGAATATACATTGTATTATTCAAGACCAACGCATGTGCAACGTTCGCGCCGAGTCTTCGATTGATTGCTACAACTGTTTTATTTTTTAATATTAAAATTTGAATTTGTCTATTACAGTGTTTGATTTTACAACATCAAAACGTAAATACTTATAAAGAGCTATTAAATAATCTTGCTGTCTTGTCGAAGAATAAGAGCCAACCTACCATTATAACCGATATCATTATGCCAGAAACATGGCAGATGGTTGATCAAAGTTATGAGTTCCCACAATATACCGCACCTCCAGTACCCAAGTGTGTAAGTTAGGTAGTAGTGTAGGAAACGGCTTGGCTATACCTTAGCATGAACGGCGGTGAATGACGGTGTATGATAGGATAGAAGATATTGACTAAAGCTTGAGTCATGCTAACGAAATTTTCAAAACAAGCTTGAATGTATGATACGAATAGTTTCCGAATAACAACATTCGGATTGTCGGTCCAGTGAGGAAAAACACCCGCTCAGTTGGATGAGGAGGGCCAAAGTTCGGGCTCAGTGGTGTAGATTGGGAGAGGCTTATGTCCAGCTGTGGACGACTGTGGGCTGATGATGATGATGATGATGAACCGCTCAGTGGAAGGTCTTTACTTAATATATTATACAAACGTATTATTAAGAATCTACAATTTTGTATTAACGACCAGTCTTTACACATTTACTCCAAATAGCATATAATGTAACCGATAAATGTCAAAGATTACTCGTGAGATTACTCTTTGAATACAAGTGAGTTTACTTTTGTATTGTACATACAAATGAGTTAAGTTAAAAAGCAAGACTTATTTTAAAAGGTTAGTAAGTGGAAGGATAATGATAAATGAGAAGTTTCCAAAATAATACAGAATTTATTCGGCAGTGTTTCACAGTAATACAGTAGTCGTTTTAAATCAGTTCATTTTCTATGTGGTAATCACCATGCTCGGAGGCCAACGGTTTTGGGGTATAGAGAAAGAGGAGAAACTACAGGAGTAGAATATGCCGATACAAAGGGAGCTGAATAGGCGGAGACTACAGGCGAAGGGTAGGCGACGGGAGAGACGACGGAGCTGTAGGCCACGGGAGCGACGACAGACCGCTTGCGGAGGTGGTGGTAGCCAGACAGAGCTTTCGCTTGAAAGTGAGCGGCGCGGGCAGCGACGACTTCAGGAGTGTCGAGAGGGACACCGTTAACAGCATCTAGGACGACAGCAGGAGAGTGCGGGGCTTGAGAGAGGGCGGCGACTGCAGGAACCACACCGGGAGCGATGAGTGCAGCGTTGTACAAAGCAGGAGCTACCAGAGGCGATCCGTGGACCACACTGGTGCTGTACTGGGACAGCGAACTAACTCCAGGCACGATAGCGCTGTAGGCCAAAGGAGCCACCAAACTGGGCTTGGCGACGGCGGCCGCGAAGATTGAAAACAACACCACCAGCTTGTTCATTGTGGTCTGTGTTTGATGATCAAGAGAATACAAGAAACTGATACCTGATTCGCAGTGACTATTGCTTATATACTAACTAAGTCAGTGTTGTTTAATTTGAAATATTCATAAAGCAAACGAACAAAACCTTCAGATCTTCGACTAGGCTCTGACATTTAGCTGTCGTGGACTCTGAAACTTGTTGCACGACAATTTTTTTGCTATTGTTAAAGAGCTTCCGTTAAATCGATCAATGTGTTTGAATGACATGGCCAATATGATCTAGTGTACCGTGACATTTTGTTGGGCTTAGATTAGTTATTTGTTTAACTTTAATTATTTCATCAGTCCGCATTCAATATACTAAGTTTGTATTGAGAATATTAAAATTTAAACTGGTGTTAGGAAATCGTGTGAGTCCGCACGTGTAGGTACCATCACCCGGCCTCTTTCCGCCGTGAAGCAGTAATGCATTTCGGTTTGAAGGGCAGGGCAGCTGTTGTATTTTTAAAACTAAGAGTTTAGAACTCATGTCTCAAGGTGGGTAGCGGTATGTACGTTGTTGATGCCTATATGCTCCGGTAACCACTTAAAACCAGGTGGGCCGTGAGCTCGTCCACTCATCTAAGCAATAAATAAAATTAATCGAGCGGCAAAGTCAATTTTTAAATAAAAACTCTGTCGTAAATGGGACTGATGAATGCAATAAAATATATTAATACAACATGTAACAGAGTTTCTAAGTCGGTTGAAAAAAGTCAACCACTTTAGTTTCTGTAGGTATCAGCGAATCTTCGACTTCAAATTTATTAGTATTTGCGGTAAAATTTTAACACTAGGTAGGGATAATGAACTCAACTATCTATTTGGGTACAGAGAACAAAGGAGTCAGAGTACATTTTGTTTCACACACGCAAAAGAGAAGTGAGAAGTGAATTTGTACTCGTTCGTTAAAAAAAGGAGACGGATATTTTATATAATTTGTCTATCGTAGATGTGGCGTGATCATTTGATTTCATTATTGCTATTATTATTATTATTATTACATCATGATTCATTTCATTCATTCTTCAGCTTAAGGTTTAAAAATCGAAATGGATTTACTAGTTTTTGAGTGTTTCTCGCAGAAACAGAGAAACTCTGATATTGAGAGTTCGCCGGGTAGGTTCCATAAATATAGCTATATCATGACGAGATGCACCTTTTATTGTGATAGCTATGGGCTTCTATAGTTACTGTTAAAATAATGGCATACTCATGCCAAGCTAATGAAATAGCGAATGAACAGCTTTAAATCAAACTTGTGAGGAAGTTAACCCCAAAAGTTTTTAGTTACACGAGATGCAAATTAATTATATCCTCTTTGGTAGTAGAGATATTTTAAGGCTTGCAGGCTTTTTTACAGCTCGTGAACAAGCTCACGACCTACCTGTTGTTAAGAGGTAACCGCTTTGAGACATGACATCAATGTCGCATTTTAATTGGGTATTTTTGTTTTTATCTATTTATTTTACACTTTATGCTCATTAATGTATATCGGCGGACTTAATGTCTAAGAAATTCTCTCTCTATGAGTCAACCAAGGATGACGCAGAAAAGAACGTCGTAAGATCGTATGATTTATAAATTAAAGGACAAATAGACTTTATACAATGTACTAATTTTAGGTTTCACGCATTTCAAATAGAAAAAAAACGTGTGATTGCTTCGTGGTAGCAATATGTAGGATGACATATATACGCAGGTATACAATAAGAATTTCCACGGATTATTTTAATTTTATGTGTGTTTATGTATTTTATATGTACTTTTATATATTTAGGCAAATTTATAAATTTTGCTTTTAAAACTTTTATAATACAACAATACTTCACGATAAACGTCTCTCGCGTGAACACATGTGCATATTTCTCTAGAAACATAATTTCTTGCGGGATTTGAAGACGGGCATAATAGCATCAGCACCGGTCACCATTCTCATGGAACTCGTCGATTACTACGAAGAGTTCAATGTACAAACTGCCCATAGATACAACCCACTAAGTTTCTCGTTAGATCTTCTTAGTGGGGCGCTATGCCATTCCGGTGGTAAATTTAGCGAAGCACTGCTCTTACTAGGACCAGTGTCAGCAATCCCTGCCAGGTGAGCCCACCTACCAAACCGGGCGTAGCTGGAATAGCCCGACGGCTACCGACGATTAGGTAAGGAAATTAGCATTGTTTGATACGCAGGGATACCAGCAATTTGAAACACTTTGTGACCTGAAAAATCGAGGGAAAAAGGTCTAGGGGTAGAGGTCCCAAACGATGGTCGGACCAAATAGCGGAGGAACTAAAAATACCTGTCAGCAACGCACTCCACCAAACTACAGAACGGGATCGATGAAGACTAGCTAGTTGACGGAATCAAACGGAGTCACGATCCTTAGCAATGAGGGACCGATTGAAGAGAGAGAGAGAGAGATACGCGTACACCAGGCGTCTGATTCTTTAAGTCCAACCACTTGATATAGATAATGTTTTGCTTAGAAACTTCATAGAGATAAGTAGACGTGTATAATTTTTATACAATACAAACCATACATATTTCTAGCGGTCTTGGGATTATGGATTGTCCACTATCGATGATCGCTTCGAATGTGCCTTGGATTCTTTGCTTTATTCCGTATATTCAATGGATTATGAATGCTTAATAGAATTGTTGAGATGATCCCATAAGCTCCATTTGATCATCACATCACTGGAGCAGAGTTTATCTATACTGCACTCATCTCTTGTTCATTTCCATGAATTTTTTTTGTATGACCTGGTTCTGGAATGAACTCTTTCCTCGTTGTTTCGAGCGCTATAACATGTTCTTTTTAAACAACTCTTTAAATCAACCCTAAGCAGTAAGCCTTGCCATTGTTGATTTCCAAGAATACCAGTGACTACACTGATCATCAAGTGAGCCACAAGTTTTCCTGCCTAATAGGATAATATGGGTGTTTACCAAATAAAGTAAAAAAGGCTTTTGATTTACATGCATGAACCAATTTCATAATCAGTGTGGTAAAAATATATAAAAAACAACATATACATTTATTGATCATTTATTGGCAGTGAATCCACATGATAGAAGTTTTACTTTTAAATATATTAAGAGCTTTTTACCATGGGTGGACGCTAAGGGCTTTAGGGTATAGGGAAACAGGAGAAACTACAGGAGTAGAATATGCCGATACAAAGGGAGCTGAATAGGCGGAGACTACAGGGGAAGAGTAGGCAAGGGGAGAGACGACGGAGCTGTAGGCCACGGGAGCGACGGCAGACCGCTTGCGGAGGTGGTGGTAGCCAGATAGAGCTTTTGCCTGGAAGTGAGCGGCGCGGGCAGCGACGACTTCAGGAGTGTCGAGAGGGACACCGTTAACAGCATCCAGGACGACAGCAGGAGAGTGCGGGGCTTGAGAGAGGGCGGCGACTGCAGGAACCACACCGGGAGCGACGAGTGCAGCGTTGTACAAAGCAGGAGCTACCAGAGGCGATCCGTGGACCACACTGGTGCTGTACTGGGACAGCGAACTAACTCCAGGCACGATAGCGCTGTAGGCCAAAGGAGCCACCACACTGGGCTTGGCGACGGCGGCCGCGAAGATTGAAAACAACACCACCAGCTTGTTCATTGTGGTCTGTGTTGATCTACTGGCTTTGAGAAACTGATGCAGAATCCGTGTTGACTGATGTTTATATACTCGTATAACGCTGGTTGTGTTCACGGTCTTCTGAGCAAATGTTATGAAACGGCCTTCAGATTACGCGCTGATATTTACGTGCGGCGTACGTTGAATATCTTAATGAGAGTTTAGTTTTGCCCGTGGGCTTCCGCAAATACTAAACTGAGCTTAGGTTAAAAAAAAATATAAAATGAACACTGGGCGTATACCATTTTTTGCTGGTATTATATATCCTGGGGTATCAAGGAGTTATAATTGCAATCAAGTAATTTTTTGTTTGCATAGTTTGGCAGACGAGTTTACGGTGTATGTTTATGTTATAATATATTAACATGAATAGAAAGAAGACAAAATGAGAATGAGCAGCACAAGAAAAAAGATTAAAGTAGAAGAAATACTTAATCGAAAAGCTTAATAGAATTGTAGATTGTTTACTGTTAAAATTATCGGTCACGAGTAAGTTTAGAGTTTCCAAACTTCAATAGACACAAAAAACTTTGATGCTTTTGTGTGGCACCTTACAAATTCGCACCCTCAGACACAACCCACTGAGTTTCTCGCCAGATTTTCTCAGTGGGTCGCGTTTCTGATTCGGTGGTAGATTCTGCGAAACACTGCTCTTTCTGGGGCTAGTGCTAGCAAATTCGTAAAGTTAGAGCCCCGTGAGCTCACCTACTCCCTCGGTGAAGCTTGCCTAGCTCGTCGAGGCTTCCAGCATAGGTATGGAAAAATCGCTTATAGGTCATATACTATATATAGACTGGTTATATATAAAATAAATGAAGCATAGCCATCTCTCTGGACCCCAATTTAACATCGTGTGATAAATAATAGTTTAAAAAAACTAACAAAATACGCTTTAGTAGAAAATCCAACTAAAAATAGAAAATAATTTTTAATCAATTTGAATTAAAAATAGTGTAAGAAAAAATTATTTTATTGTAAAAAAAAGCGTGGGGTGCTTTTCAGGATATTATCAAAATAGTCCTTCTACTCATATCTGTTCATAAAATATTGTTTTGATTGTTTAACGTTGAAAGCTGCTGCTAGCTCAGCGGTAGATCGAATATTGTGAGTTTTCATTTTCACCTTTAATTAGTCATTGTCAATTTTAGTTTTTGAGCGACCACGGGGTTCATTTTGTAGATTAACATTTCCATGTCAGTCAATCCTATATCGAGTAGCGTTCGTTTGTAATTAGTGCACGTCATTAGTGTTTTAAGCCGTTTGTGCCGCATTACTACAGAAAGACGGATTCGAATAACATATCATTATCGTGTCCATATTGTTGAATCAGATATTAATGTAGTGAAAACAAAACACTAAAAAATAAAGAAATGACAGGATTTGATAATAGATTCCCATGTTTTTAAAATAAAATTCGTTTGAATTTAGAATTGCCAGCCCAAATATAAAATTTTGTAAGTCGTCGTGGCCTAAAAGATAAGACGTCCGGAGCATTCGTGTTGAAGCGATGCACCGGTGTTCGAATCCCGCAGGCGGGTACCAATTTTTCTAATGAAATACGTACTCAACAAATGTTCACGATTGAGTTCCACGGTGAAGGAATAACATCGTGTAATAAAAGTGAAACCCGCAAAATTATAATTTGCGTAATTACTGGTGGTAGGACCTGTTGTGAGTCCGCGCGGGTAGGTACCACCGCCCTGCCTATTTCTGCCGTGAAGCAGTGATGCGTTTAGGTTTGGAGGGTAGGGCAGCCGTTGTAACTATGTATACTGAGATCTTAGAACTTATATTTCAAGGTGGGTGACGCATTTACGTTGCAGATGTCTATGGGTTCCAGTAACCACTTAACATCAGGTAGGCTGTGAGCTCGTCCAACCATGTAAGCAAAAAAAAAAATCAATCGGCCAATATTGTTAAACGGCAACTTCGTAGGTAAAGATCTATTATGACACTTTCATATTAAATTATGGTATACTAAATACAAGAGGCCTCAGAAGACACCAGATCATATATTTCTAAATATTGAAGCAATCCGGTAAGGATTACTTACTGTATGGATGGAGAAACTATATTTGCCAAAAATTACAGTTTCAAATTTTTACCTTTTAATTTTTTTCTTGCGTTAATGGATAAACGATTAGCCCATTTGGCGTTAAGCGGTTATCGGAGCTCACATCAATAATTTCCTTAATTTTTTTTAGGATTCAAAATTAGGATTTATTCAAAATATTTTGTGAAAGCTTACTATATTTTCTGATTTATTGAGGATTACCTGTGTTTCATTGTGTAAAATATCCACTACAGACAATAATAATAATTATAATATTGTACAACTAAACAAAAGCACTTTGTGAGTTTGCGTTGTTTTATTTTTATTGCATGGTGACCTGTGAATTAGTTCACTGATATATTATATCGGTGGTCTTGTTGGCGGGAACGCGAGGAGTAAAGCTATGTGGTTTGTTTTATTTTGGCTATGTAGTATTTCTTCAGGTTTAAATGTCACTGAAAAAAAACTTCCAAAAAGTCCACTGAAAAAAGTCTCATTAAATAACAACCATTTTACTCAGATTATATTTCATCCCATATCATCTCATTTCATTTCACTCCATATTATCATTTTAAATATATTATATTATAATATATATTCGCCACAGTCTGTGAAGCCTGACCTGCCTTTGACCACGACCTTTTTCACACGTTCTTGTTGTAAGTGATCCACTTTTCATCACCAGTTATCAGCTTCTTCAAAAAAGACTAGGTTTCATTACGTCGTAATAAAGAATCATAAATGAGTACACGGTTCATTAGGTTCCTTTCAGTGAGCACGTGAGGTACCCAAATATCGAGCTTTTTTGTGTACCCAGTTTTCTTCAAATGCGCCAAAACTGTTTTGTGGTCAATTCCCAGTTCTTCAGCTGCGTCGTAACTACTGATATATCGATCTTGCTCCACTTTTTCAAAAATGACATCCATTTTATCCGTAATAGGGCGCCCAGAGCGATGTGCATCTTTAACATAAAAAATTCCGGATTGAAACGCTTAAACCAAATATGTGCTACTCTCGCAGACGCTGCACTAGGTCCATAAACATTGCAAATTTTTTTCGCGATTGTGTTGCATTTTTACCTTTTTTGTAGTAAAATTTTAAAATGTATCGAATTTCTTCATTAGATTCACTCGTCTTGACAGTACGAAAAACAAATAAAAATAACACATTTTCCTAATTTGAATGTGGAATTATCTTCTTTAAAATTTAAACCTTTAATGATATCAAAATCAGCCAGATACAAATAGTATAGTCAAAGAGATTTTATTACAAGTTCATACTTACGATAATGCGAAAAGACTTTTTCCCCAACCTATTATTTTAGTTAAATGTAAATAAACTATATTAAAAAATGCTGTGAATTTTCTTAAAAAATGCGAAGAAACTTTTTCCCCAACCTATTATATCAGTGAACTACTTTTGACCTTTTGACAAGTGACTCGTCCGTCAACAAGTGTAATAGAAAATAGATGTTTCGATTAAAAACTTTACTTATTGATTATTCTTCTGTTTTATTTTGTTGATTATTATATTTACCAAACAAGCCGTTCCTAACAACCTGTCTTGACGAGCACATAGACATTTCCCCATTGCAAATAAATAGAATCTTAAGATACTAGTTTATAATTAAGTAGAATATAAAAGAGAATTTAAATAAATATTTTTTTAAATGCAAAGAAGAAGAAATGCAAAGCCGCGCAAAAATTGATTGTTATTGCAATAACCATAGTTTGTGTGTGACCACTTTCGATCGGGTGGTTCACACAGTTCATTTCTTTTACAGTAATACAGAAATAAGCGAGGGAACATCACAAAGCAAGAGAAATGGTCTGTGAACTATTCAGTTGATTTCTGCAAGAATCAAAGTATACTGTGTAGTTCAGTTTTACAACAAAAAAAAAAAAACTGTTGACCATCATTATAAAATTTATTGTGTTTAGAAGTTACACCTTCTCATTATAAATTAGCTGTGTTCATAAGTCATCGATAAACATTTGTTTGCCAATGGAATTTCCTTTGAAGTTATTGTTGAGGTTTGGTCTTACTCAATTTCTAAGTATTCCCCACTGAGAAATTAGGTTAGTCCAATGCAAAACTACGTCAATTGGTTTTCAAGAAAGCTTGCAAGTTTCAAACTTTATATCAATTTTAGTTACTAAGGAATTGGTTTTCAATTCCTTTTGTACTGAGTCGCAGTTCTCGTAATTACATATTTTTACTTCTTAATTAAATAACTTAAAATTTTGTTATCGTTAAAAAGTTTGATGACGTCTTTGCATGTTCTTACTTATTTCTTTAACTATAATTTCACCATAGTAAAAAAAAAAAACTGTTCGTAATTTCATTTATTTTATTTACAATTCAAGATAATGTTTTTGAATGTCTACGAAACCAGGGAGAATAATGCTCCTCGATATAGCGGTGCCGCTTACCAAGTATGAATTCCATAAGTCTTCGTTACAAGGGGAGTGACGATAGGAGCAGAGTATGTGAGGTGGGTGGAGACAACAGGAGCTGCTGAGTATGTCGATACCACTGGAGCACCCAAAGAAGTGGAGTACACTGAAGCAACAACTGAACGCTTGTGGACTACGTGAGCGTCAGCCTGAGCTTTAGATTCCAGGTGAGCGGCACGAGCAGCGACCACTTCTGGAGTGTCAAGAGGGACTGCTGGTGCTTCGATTGCGGCCGGTACTAGCTGAGCGGTCTTAACAAAAGAGGGTGCCGCAATAGCAGGTGTAAATGTACTCAGAAGAGCAGGTGCGATGGCCGTTGCAGCAAAAGGTGTAATTGCAGCAGTGGTGATTGGGGCGCTGATTGCACTGTACGCCAGAGGAGCACCAGAAACTAACGTACTGGTAACGGCCGGAGTAGACTTGATGTCAAGACGCGACTGGCTGGAGACGGCTGCGGGGGCAACGACAGCTGCTGGTGCAGCGAAGACAGTCGGTTGAGCTAAGGCGGTGCGGACGGCGATCGGAGCTACGGCTGCAGTTGATACGATGGCCGGAGATGATTTGATGTCCAATCGAGATTGGTGAGATACGGCTGCCGGGACAGCTGCGATCAGCGGGGCAGAGTAGGTGATTGCGGGACCCGTAAGAAGGCCTGAGGGCTTGGCGGCGGCTAACGCTGCCAAAGATAATAACACCACCAGCGAGTTCATCGTGGTCTGTGTTAGTTCAGTTGATGACGAGGAGACAAAATAAACTGATGCTTTCTTCGTTCGTTCGAATGTATTTATACATTCGCATCGGCAACACATCTGAAAGTCAAGTTCAACGGGTACTTAGTCGTCGAAAAAAAAAAGAGTTTAAGTATGCGCTGATTTAAAAATTCAAAATGTGTTCAAGTTACAAAATATTAAAACAATTCTATTTTTGGTTCAGTTAAATCAATTTCGCTTGTCAAGCGTAAATTATTGAATGACGAGATGAAGAATTGAACAAGAACACTTATTGTTTTCATTATCTATAAGAGTATTGAAGATTAGAGGTTATAGATACATATTTAGTTATGAATGAATTAAGTCGTTTCGTTTTTTACGGAGTAAGTGCTACGATCAACCCAGTTTAATTAGATCTTGATACTAGTAAAGTACCTACCTAATATTTGTTTTATATTACCTATACTCGTACTAAGCATTTGAACTAAAATTGTCACTTTATTTGTACACTATACCTTCTGGTTGGAATGGATGTTGTGGTTGAAATACGAGTATGTTGGTAAGAAACACCCACCCGAGTGGGCTTAGGGTCTGAAATTCAAACGATCTTGTTTCATTCAATGATATAATAAGTTCCTGGATCCGTTACCGACATGCATATTATAATGTTATCTTTGGTCGATGCATCTGTATCGTTGATATTCTGTGATAACTATTTAAAATTATATTTTTAATATTACATTGAATATTTTTCATTTTTCAACTTGTTTGAATAAAACAAACATTTGTTTGGTCATTGAAGCCATCACTGAAAATCGGATTGGACTCTTTTAGTGAATTGAATTATCTAAATCAAATCATTATTATTTAGGAATAAAATTAATTAGTTTAGAAATCTGTGTAAATAAACTAACGAGAACTCTACGTATGATCTCATAAAGAATTGAAAATTTTTTTCGTTGGTATAAAGATTATTATATTATTAAATATTAATCGCAGGGAGCTAGCTTTGTGATTGTATGATTTAGTAAAACCAGACTGGTTCCTCTTACCTTCGGCATAATACTGACCTTTCAAAAGCGTGTTCATTATTCCACAACACAAAGAAAGAGATTTACTTGCTACGATAGACTAGTTTGTGCTTTGTACCAGGTATAAACAAGTAAATGTATGATTTAAAAAAAAAAACGTTTTTATGTTAAAGTCAGTTTGTAAAAAACTTTTTTGTATGAAATTTCGTGACGTAAGTGGAATGTAATGATATTGATAATGATTATTGCATTGTCACCGTTTCGAATTTCGTGAGTTTTTTTTATTTATTTATTTTTATTGCTTAGATGGTTGGACGAGCTCACAGCCCACCTGGTGTTAAGTGGTTACTGGAGCCCATAGACATCCACAACGTAAATGCGCCACCCACCTTGAGATATGAGTTCTAAGGTCTCAAGTATAGTTACAACGGCTGCCCCGCCCTTCAAACCGAAATGCATTACTGCTTCACGGCAGAAATAGGCAAGGTGGTGGTACCCACCCGATAAAATTTTATTAAAGTTAAATTTTCAAAATTGTCATAATTAAGTTGTCGTGGCTAAAAGATAGGACGCCCGGTGCATTCGTAATAAGCGTTGCAACGACGTTCGAATCCTGCAGGCAGGTACTAATTGTTCTAATGAAATACATAGTTAGCAAATGTTCATGATTGACTTCCACAGTTAAGGCTACATACATCGTGAATAAAAATCAAACCCGAAAAATAATTATTTGCGTAATTACTTGTCGTAGAAAGTCTTATGAGTCCGCACGGATAAGTACCAACACCGTGTCTATTTGTACCGTGAAGCAGTATTGCGTTGCGGTTTGAAGGGTGGGCAGCCGTTGTATTGTAAAAACTAAGAACTTAGAACTTATGTATCAGGGCGGCGTAAACACCGCCAATTTACTTGGTGGATGTCTATGAGCTCCGGTACATATATACACTTAACACTATGTGAGCCGTGAGCATCTCCACCCTTCTAAGGAATTAAAAAAAGCAAAAAATAACTTTAAGAAATGTGTGTCTTTAAAACTAGAAACCCGCCCTCGCTTCGCTTCGAAAACTGTAATTTATTATTGATTTCTCCACTATTTAATGGATGTTATTATACATATAACCTTCCTCTTCAATCACTCTATCTATTAAACCGCATCAAAATCCGTTGCGTAGTTTTAAAGATTTAAGCATACATGGGGACAGATATAGGGACAGAGAAAGCGACTGTGTTTTATACTATGTAGTGATTTCGTAGAGGGTTATGTTCTATGTATTAGAGGGCAGTAGATAGTGCGTGTGATTGTGATTTGCTTAAATAAACGTTTGACATTAAAAAAGTTAATTTGACTTGACGTGAAGAATGTGATCATGATCGTTTGGGATGGTATGGACATGTGTGAGACGAAATGAAAATGAGGTTGGTAAGAGAGTGTTAACTATGAATGTGGAAGGATATAGAGGAAGAGGTAAACCTAAGAAGAAATGGATGGACTGTGTGAAAGACGATATGGGTAAGAGGGGAGTGAGCGAAGAAATGGTATATGATAGAAGAGTATGGAAGGAGAAAACATGCGCCGACCCCAGGTGACTGGGAGAAGGGCAGGATAATGATGATGAATGATGTGAAGAATGTGGTTAGAGTTTTTGCATCTACAAAACTATATACTGGCGATTAAATATAGACAAAAAACGAATGATAATGATTTAAAAACAATCTATTGCGTTTTTATGGGTTATAGTTTTCTATGGTATGTATGTTGAGTAAAGAAAATAAAGTCAACTAAACAAGAAAATAAAATATAATTATCGAAGTATGTTTTATTACACAAACACAATGGCACAACAATCTAACTTGTTACAAGCTAAGTTTTTCCAATATGACATTCCCAATTTTCTTAAGCTTAAATAAATAGTAAGTGAGCTGTTGCACTTTGTTGGTTTGATGCGTTTTACAACAAGTTTGGTTGTTGTTTGGGTTGTTACTGGTTTACCAGCCGTGGGCATAGGCGGGTGCAGCCACGATGGGAGCGTGTGCAGCCACGATGGGAGCGTGTGCGGCAACAATCGGTGCGTGAGCAGCTACCACAGCGGGGGATGCGATCTGTTAATAAAAGAATGATAGGGCACGTTGAAATCACAGTGCATTGGTACAAAGGTCCCGCCTATCCTGCCACGATGCAGTCGTGTGTTTCCATTTGAAAGTTTGTAAAAACATACGTCTTATTGCACTTTACATCACACAATATGTAATCTCTATATATAAAAATGAATTGCTGTTCGTTAGTCTCGCTAAAACTCGAGAATGGCTGGACCGATTTGGCTAATTTTGGTCTTGAATTAATTGTGGAAGTCCAGAGAAGGTTTAAAAGGTAGATAAATATGAAAATGCTCGGAATTAAATGAAAATAACAATATTGTTTTTCTTTTGATGTGTCCCCCGTCGAAAGGATTCCTTTTGTTTGTTTTAAGTTTATCTTACACAAAGGTTGCTGTTTTATTTATCGATTGAGGCACTACGAAGTCTGCTGGGTCAGCTAGTTTGAAATATTTTAGTATGATGATATTGAATTATGAATTATGAATGGCAAAGCTTACAGTCGGAGGCCAAGACCCACTTCGGGGCCATAGCGCCAGCCCAGTATTAGTAGTATCTAGTAGTATTTTCATGAGAACCAAAAGAACACAAGATTGTTTGACAAAAACCGAAAAATATAGTAGGTAATTAGGCGTAACTGACAGTAGTATCCTGTACTTTTTTATCTTAGCTATAAATAACATTTGTTTATTTTTTTAATAATAATATATGTTTATTTCAATTGTTAATAAACAATTTGTGTCATTAATAAACGAGTTACGTCTTACCCTAACGGTGTTTGCGTAAGAAGTGGCGACCGGCACAGCAGTTTTTACTACTCCAGCGCTCACCAGTGGGGCGCTGACGATACCATGGCCCCAAGGTGCGATGGGCGCTGCAATAGGCACACCATATGGTCCTGGAGCAGCCGAGGCGACGGCCAGGAAAGCGGCGAATACAACCTTAAAAAGTATTATGATGGTCATAATCAATACGAGTCAATTTTAGTTACCTATATTCTTCCTTTTTTTTGTGTACGGGTTGGCGTTGGCTCGCGGGGTATGTAGGACTGGTCCCCGACCGCAAACTGCGGGCCCAAGGATGTTTTAGGACCCTACCGACTAAATGACTCCCCTGTACTCTTCGCCCAAGCGTCCGATCCCCTACGTGGTCAGAACCTCGATGAAGTAAGGGAGCTACCGCGGTCAACACTACAACCAGACGGCCAGCTCACCCCAAGGACGCCCGGCTCGACGGAAATTTCGAGTCGAAGAACGAAGGTTCTGAAACGTCGGTCGTCTCAGTACCTCAACCTGTCAGGCCACCCAGACGGTGCCACTGGTGTCCCGGATACCCCGCCGGACGAGAACCAGCCTATCAGGTCGGGGTGCGATGCACTGCCAACCGATTGTCCTTTATTTCTCCTTGGAAGCGCGCTAGAGTGCTGGTAGCTCGCCGCGCGGCCTCAACTCTCTCAGGTCGCCCCTTTACTTTCACTGGGGGATTTTACTTCTCTACTTTGGCATATTTTAATGTAGCATAATTTAATTTAGTATTAAACAAAGTATTTTACCACATCACTTCATTGTATATGAATGTAGTATAGACAGTGTATATATACAAGAGAAAATAAGTAGTATTCACATTATTATAAGGTTATGAATAAAATATCGACGAATTTAAATACTGTAATTAATAGAACATGAACCTGTATAAAATTGTCTTTACCGCGAATAAAATTATAATTAATTAAATTTCAAAGATAATTGAATTAATAATTGTCATAGAACAAATCTCACATTATTACATAACAATATAGATTAACGTTCGCTTTATTATGTATATAAAAATAGACGAAGACAAAACAAATATACACACAAAATTATCCTTTTCAAACATTTTTTTTGGTTGTTCGTTTAGTAACAATATTTATCTATTCCGTGGTAACAATAGAGGGACTTTAGTACAATTTAAAAATGTAATATGTACCTAAAGTCAATTTGAATGTTCAGGTATAAGTGATTAAGGTCGAATTTCGATCGTTCAGCGAATACTAGTAACAATTTTATTAATGTCTAAAGATCGAGAGACCCTAAGAAAAAGACAAAATAATTACAGACGAACCCGTGTGAAAGATATTTTTCAATAAAGTATATTCGCTTTTTTGCTGTAGGGAACTTACTATAATCAGCAAATCGCAAATCGTTAGGGTATCTGCGCTCCATTTAAAATCTATGTCAAGTACTTTACACCAACGCAGTTTCAGAAAGACCGGTCTTAGTATTAAAGTGCGACTAGTTGTAAATATATTTATTTAGTGCTGTATTTGAGAATATGAGTTTAGGGTCCGCCTAACAGCAGACATAGGGACAGTGGAAGTATGAATAATTCGACGCTTGAAAGGCAAACGTGACTAAGCGACAATGCGTGAACTTTACAGTAGACTAACTTAAAGTTGAAATACCTGAAAACAACATTTATTTTAACGAATCTAGTTGTAGTAGAATCTAGCTTGTAGCTGTAGGATTGAAATGATTTTAATAGACCTAGAAATATGTATATTTTTTTTGCGCATCGAATATGATTATTGCTTTTCATTTATGTACAAAGCAGTTATTGTCGCTTAGTCATGTTTGCCTTTCAAGCGTCGATTATGTATATAAAATTGTTGTACGATCCTTAATATCAGAAATGTCAACTTTTTTTTAATAGGTTATATGAGTGGATCAGCTTATGGCCCACTTGGTGATAAGTGGTCATTGGAGCTCATAGACATCAACAACGCAAATGCTGCCGCCCACCTTGAGACATGAGTTCTAAATCTCAGTTTTTTTTTTGAAGTACACATTTTAAACTACAAAGTTAGACAGGGTGGTGGTACCTACCTGTGCTGGTTCATAAGACGTCCTACCACCAGTATAAATATACTTTATGTCGTACTTCAAATAATGAAATTGTGACGAAAGAGAATAGAGACGAGAGCTTGACACAATTAAGCCTCCGTCAAACTTAACGCGTACTTAGCGCCGCGTACTTAACGTCGCGCTCTTCAAATTGACTAGATGAGTCTAACGCTCCTTGACGCAACGCATTCGCCAAATCATAGTGCCTTTCGATAGCAGTGTGAAAATTTAAAAGTATTAAGAAATCGAGTGATTCAGATGTGGCATTGTATAAGCATGGGTATTTTCTAACTATTTATATCATTTTTTCGGGCATTATCTAGTATTTTGATACACATTCACTCGGACGCTAAAATAAAATTTGTAAAAGATTACAACGCTTGATGTCAAAGCGTCCTAACGCCGCGACAGAGCGCTGCGTACTTATAGCGCTCTGTTTGACGGTATGTTACCATAGTAGTACAACACATCTCGGCGTCATAGCGCGGCGTCAGTTTAGCGCTCTGACGCGCGCTAATTACGCGTTCTGTTTGACGAAGCCTTTACGTATTTTTAAAATAGTAAGTGTTCAATAGTCCTACATAAAACTCTCAACATTGTATTTTATGTCTTATACAAATATAAATATTTCAATGGCTCAACCCACTGATATTGTAGAATGTAGATCGTAAAGCGATACTAAACTTTATTCCAACAGCTTAAAGGCGAAATTGCTTGTAATTTTCGTAATAAATAAACTTACCAGAAATGGCCAGGTATTGTGAACTTATAAACAGCAATAGTAACAAGATTCTTAGTTATTTTTAAATGATAATAAACAATTTACATTGCCTTTTTTAGTACTTACATACTTTTTTTAAAGGCGATAGGATAACCTATGATCCCCTATTATTAAATATTATTAATAATATTAAATAGTTACCGATGCCCATAGGCATGACAGCGTATGTATGTACATACTGTACCACACCTTGAAATATGAAATCGAGGTATCTTAGCTTTTGTATAACGGCTGTTCCAGTTTCAAAGGAGAATTCATAACTGCCTCGGATCAACAAATTGACAGTATAGTGACTCTAATTAAGCGTTCTGGCTTAGGCCAAGCCAGACCAAGGGTAAGACGCCCAGTTTACTCATAACGAGCGATAGTCAAATCTCGCTGGCAGGCATAATTTTTTCTAATGAAATATGTACAAGAAGACACGTTCACAAATGACTTTCTCGTCAAAGGAATAAAAATTAAACTCATAAAATTTTAAGTTTTATGAATATTTGTTTTAAGTAGAGATTCCGTCGCGGCTTGAACAGCCTGTGTGGTCGTATTTCCTACTAATAAGGGCTTAGAATACTATAAGTTATTTACCCGAATACTACGCAGATGTTCGACGATGCACTTTGAACGTGGAAAAAGTACGTGAATATATAAAGTATTTAAATATATTACTCCAAGGAAAGTCTACTTCAGCATTTGAAGACTTACATAGTTGCGTATTTTACTTATTAGGCTGTAAGAACAACTTCAGTATTTTTTTAAATTCACATGATGGATACATTAAAACTAAGACGCGTATCGCGTTCTCGAAATCGGAACGCAATAAGTTTTCTCGCGAAAAACAGGCGCTACCTATCACCTATTACCTTACTGCCACTGCTGGGCGTTTGATGGAGATCCTGCCATAGTAGCGTGAGGAGGTTAGATTCGCACTTGTATCATCTCAATATTATCTTTATTATTGCTCACGGCCCACCTGTTTTTGAGTGGTCACTGGAACCCGGTAATTGCATGACACTATTAACCAAGTTAAAGCCGTCATCCTCCTTGAAATATGAGTTCTGAGTCTCAGTTTTGACATTACAACGGCTGCCCCACCCTTCAAATCGAAACTCACAAGATACTCTACCACCGGTAAAAGTACAGTGACTAGATATGAGTCGACTATTATCAAAGCCGGCAATGTGACTTTTGGACAATTATTGGTAAATCAGAAAAACGAATTATTGACTTTGTATTCCATTGGCAGTCACAAAACTCTTCTGAACGACATCTTAGATAAATAACAGGTTAAGTATTAACCTTTATTTAATGCAGGTTTTGAACCGCATTCATTGAAGGAGACGATTTTATTCAAATCAATCTGTATTGACATATCAATAACATTTTTTTGTCGAAATGCACAGATTGCCACCTTTGATAATAGACGACTCATATACTACTACAATGTAAGTTCCACTGGTTAAGTTTCGGGTTTCTTTATGCATTAATTTTATTCGTTTTGCGCGCGTTATTCATTTTTTGTCGTTAACAAAACAGCGAGCGTTTAACAGTGAGCAATAAAAAAGCGTAACTTATCGTATACCGGATGGTAACTAGTGCCTAGCCTCGAAGGGTCGTTGCCACAAAGGAGAATGTCAATCGCAAAACAAAAAAAATGTAACTGAATCTAAAAAAAATGGCTACGAGTGTTTTGGCTACGTTCAATAAAGGGTTTCGTATACGGCATAAACGCTCAGTGTTAAAAGTTAATGCTAAAATTTATAACCGAGAACGTAGTTTGCTTAGTTACAAAAATCTTTTGCTTGAACATTCAATAGCATTTTTGGAACGAAGTTCCTTACGGCAGGCTTGGAGGAGATAGGGATTTTGCTCCGCGACCGAACTGAAAAAAATGTGATAGTAAAACCGTAAGAAAAAGACCGTGGAATAAAACCGTTAAATGAGACGTGCGCAGGTGCGACAGTCGTATACACAAGCGAGTAGTGTATAATACCTTTCTCTTTCTCCTTCTTTCTTTTCGTTCTCTCATCCCTTCTCTCTCTATTTCGTAATTATTTCTATTTCTATGTAATTTTATGTTGTCAAACAAAAATAAAGACACATATTTTGTTATTTTAATTGATAATTTGAATTACGATTTTTTTTTATTTTACGTAATTTATTTATTATTTCCTAAAATACTGAATTTCCTAAATACTTTCCTGTACTTAAATAAAAACTAATCAGCAAAATTTAAGAGAAAAATCAAGAAAACCTACATAAAATTGAGCACGATTTTTTTTGCAAATTGTATCGATTCTACATTAGTCGAAGGTACTTCGTTCCTATCTGGTGTCCCACAACACCACATCTTTTTTTTAATAATTTTCTTCCCTGTTTAATAATTAGTCTATAGATAGGCGTGGCTGTTTCCCTGACATTTCTCTGTAAGCCGTAAAGATCTATAGCAACATTGAAAAAAAATAGCATTTAGTTTGTGATAACTATTGATTGCAGTAAAAAAAGCCTTGAAGACACCTCATAGACTCAAACACAGTGGATTTTTAAACTTTTAGCTACGTGAAACTCTTTGAAAACTGTTACAAATTTCATAGACAGGATCTATTTAGCATTTAAACCTATCTAATGCACTTAGTATGCGAATAAATGAAAGATAAGCGGACAGACCGACAGAATTGAAGAAAATAAGGGCTCGATTATTAACATTTTGTTATGGAACCCTAAAATGTTCGCAGTGATTCATTACGTACCTTCTTAAATATAGATTTGTTTACGAGCCATTGAATTGCCTTGTAAGTAGCGAAATTATCTTAATAATACGGCAGAATAATTATTTGAAATGTGGTTGATATTTGATTTGTTTACGTCGTAAGCAAAAGTACCCATCAAATTGATTTATTTTTATTTCATTGTACATAACAAATATAGATATGATATACGCAGTGCAACTCACAACTACATTATATAGATGGAAATAAGCAGGGTTTTTTTATGATGTCACTAACAGAAAAGTAAATACAGGGACAAGTCTAGTTCCGAACGAGTCACAGTGCGTTTGATATTTATATTTCAATAATGTAGTTGAACAGTTATAAAAATAGGTAGGTTATAAAAATAAACTCTTAAGCATCGACGTTATTAACATTGCTTTATAATTTTATTGCATTGCATTTTTAATTTTATATTATATTATATTAATGTGAAAAAGTTCGATAGCAGAGAAATTGAAAAAAGAAAATAGCCATTAATTTATGATTTCGTGGTGCTTTTCATGGATTCCTCGAAGGGCGCTTTGCAAATGTACATATCCTAAATATAGTCTGCATTAAAAAATTCAGAGTGAGAAAGATACGTACGTCCAAATTCAGGATTTAGATTAAGTATATTTCTCAAAGTGCTCTAAGCTATATAAAATTCTCAGAGGACTCCAAGTGATATATATTTGGTTGATACTGGCCACACAAATATTGCGAATAAAAATGTATTTCAGATTGGTTCATATGAATAAAGTTGAAATGCGATACTTCAACTCACCAGTTTATACATGTTGGTAGGCGGGTCAGAGTTGACTCGTAGGTTTCAAGAGAGATCTGTGAACGAATGTGCTAAGGGCTTGTTAATCTAGCCTTATATAGTGCTGAGACACATGGTGGACCAAATCTGTATCTCGGACCTAGTCAAGCCTAGGTCATTAGTAATAGGTCTCAGTATGTGGGCTGTACTGTTGGACACAAAATTAGATGGATAATTTTTAAAATGCTTATTTCTAACAATACAACAGATTTAGTAGAAGAATTAGGTGAGCGTATTCCTTAAATTTACACTAAAACGACTATAGAATAAGATCTTCACGGATGTGTTATTGACAATGTAATACAGACAATCAATTTTTGTATTACAATATATCTTGGGCGCGTTAATTGATCTTGAAAGCTAATAAAAAAAAATATAGCAAAAAAGAAACAACAAAAAAACTAACAAAAAGATAGTTTATTATCGCACTACTAAATGCCATTAGTTCAACGAAATAAGGCGAAAGTAATTTAAAGAAAAAATTGCCGAGTTTATAATAGTAGTGACAGTAATACATAAAAGAACAATGTCATACTAGTATTTCCTATAAATTAGGATGATAGATTTCTGAGGCATTTAACGTATTCAGCATCATTCAGTATCAAATTAGCTTGTAAAATTTCAAGGACAAACACGACGTTACAAATTTTATAATTAATATCATTGCTGTTATTAATGTATTCGTAATAAGAGTAGGAAGCAAACTTAAATAAATATGTACATTGTACGTACAAAAAAGGGCATCGTGTATAAACGATAGACGACATTTAGTAACACAGATTATGTACAATGGGCAGTAGTTCCTTGTTAGTGTTACTTATTAAAATTTTGTTTAGTATAAGATAGTATACAGATGCTGCCCACAAGGAAATGACATTTGGTATATTTGTATCGAGGCACTGCGTCGAGTATTCAAATTCCAACTGTCAGATATAAAATTTTCTAAACAAATATATAAATATACTAGCTGTACCCGTCCGCTTCGCTGGCCATTTAAAGTTAAGATTATTATTTCTCACCCCCACAAAGATTCTCATTAACGTCCCCGCAACTGGTGTAGGGAGTCCAACACACATATAAATATTAGTCTATCCATTAACTACATGTATTTTCTACATGGATACCAAGTTTCAAATCAATCGGATGCATGGTTCAGTAGTTAAAACGGAACATTCGTGAAAATCACTGTAGAATTATGTATTAGTATAGAAAAGGAATCGTGTATGAGCCCACTCTCATCATCCTACTTATGCTTTATACCGTCATGCTTTTCGCTTCAAAGTTCCAATTACCAATTTACAGCAAGTGAGCAGTGAACTTGTTTGTCCATCTAGGCCTTTCTAGGCTAATAAAAATGGGGTAGAACTGCTCACGGCCTATCTGATCTTAAGCGGTTTCGGATCCTATAGACACCGCGATGTGTATGCGTCATCCAACTTCAGGCAAAAGTTCAAGTTTTAGTGTTGAATTTACAAAAACAGCTTATCTGCTTGTAGAACCGATGTAATATGCTTTGCGTGAATCCTGTCCCGCCGTCTCAATAGCTCCGACTGGGTTCCCGATAGGTCGGGGTAGGGCGCCGGCTGTGAGCGGCAGGAGTTTTTAGTGAGGTTCGACTCCCACATACCCCACCTGCCGTGTGGGTGGGGATCCGGCGATTTTCTCCTGTGGAAAAAAAATCTGCTTGTGGAGCGAAAGGTGTCATTTCTTTGTGGCAGAATTAGATTGAGTTATGGTTCTAAATTTGTGAGCTAATAGTGGGCCATCAATAAAATTATTGATATTTAACAGCAAATTTTAAGAGGAGTGACAACAAAACGGATACAGTTTTCGTCCTGGCGAGACAGCCGTCACCGGTTTTCGTTGCCTAGAAACCGCAATAACAGCTAAGTACCGTCTGGAATAATAAATGTATTAGCAACGAAATCTTACGAAAGTACATTTTGGACATTCGGCTAGTTCTTGCTAAATACGCGTAGGCGAGATAGTCAGGAACTAATGTTAGATAGGTTAAATGTAGTACAATAACGTTATGAAGCAACTGCTATTTACGATTACATCATTGCCATTAGAACTATATCGCTCTAAATCTTTTAATTGTATGGTACGGTACATACAAATATTTTTAAAAACCACTTTATAGTTTATTGGTATTTTAAAGCAATTAACTTAAGTAACGTATTTGATCTAATATTGTTACGACTGCAAAAAATACAATGCTTAAGTGAGTTAGTAATCATGTAAGTCATTTGAATAATTTAAATAAATTCGAGACATTAAAGCCAAGCATAGTAGTTAAAGATATTGTGAATTTTAATTTACTTTTTGCTGCAACTGATGTGATTAAATTTTAAGTACCACTTTTAATATTTAAATATAAAGAAAAGTGACTTTTAGTGAATTTACCGACTATCGCGAAAATGCATTTTTTCTTTCAATTTGAATTATTATTATAGTGATTATGTGAGTAACCGTACTATAGTCACTCAGAAATTTGGTCGACTGCAACCGGTTACAATTATATCTATTTCAATGCTACTAGTGTGTTCTAGAAAATTAAATAAGGTTAATATTATACTATATGACTAAACTGTATTCTTTGATCGTATTCTGCTGTATAATTGTTTTTCCTATACAAATTTTCAAATTCTGTATAAATTGAATTGAAATAATTCGAAGTTTGTGAGAGAATACTTTTTTACTTTGTACGGCCCACCATTCACGTGATAGTAAGTAGTCATCATCACTCATGAAAATCAGCAATGCAGGGGGACAACTCGGAACAATGTGGTAAGCGGTTTTTTTATGTTTGAGGGAGTAATGGTGGCCCGGAGGACTCTTCAGTTCCACCAGAGCAGGTGGGCGAGAAAAGGCTCAGCCAGGAGGGGGAAGGAATTTGCTAACAGCTGCGCGAGCACCTCCAAAAGAGACGTAACAACTCAAGGGCAGTTGCTTCGCGAATGGATCTACTACCGGATCGGAATCGCGATCCGCTGAGAAGATCCAGCGAGAAACATCAGCGGGCTGATGTTTAGGTTAGGTAGGAAAGCGGACTTTAAAGCTCAATGGCACGTGCCAAAGAAGATCTTCGGAAACAAACTGCGGATGCACGCAGTATGAATGAACTCTGCTCGTGTGGAGCAAGCCGATTTTAAAAAGGAGATGAAGAGTTTTGGATGGACGATCTAGTTTTCTACCTTAAGGCAAGAGACCATGGTACCACTTATCTCTTGATATTAATTTATATTCCATTGTATTCGATTGTGACGATAGACACCTTGTATATCGGTCGATAACATACAAATAACCTTTATTATATGAGTCTAATTTTGTATTTTTTAAATTAATCGTTGCTAGTTTATGATTTCAAAATGTCAATTTTGGTTTTTGTAAACTATAAAAATTGCTACTATATACAACATTATTCGTCACGATAAAAACGGCGTTGAGGAACCATTTTTTATGGAACCTCCGTTTAATTTACGAAAGTGTTGTAGCTATATTCGTTATTTTAACATATCCTGCATTTGAATAAATTTGCATAAATCGTGCAAAAAGTTGTTCCCGTATCAAATTTGTTTGTTGCTAATATCGACTGAATTATTACTCGCCAGATGTTTCATCTATATATTAATACGTGAAGCAAAAACTTTGTATCCCTTTTTACGAAAATTTCGAGGACGGAGGAGTATGAAATTTTCCACACTTATAGAGAATATAGAGAAGAAGTGCACAATGCTAATTTTTTTTTTTAATAATGCATAAAAGATTAAAAGATTAACATTAAATTAATAAAGAAAACATTACACACACTACATACCATGTATTTGATGCACACACGCATGCATACTATTTATTGTTAAACTTTTGTTCTTGACGTCTGTTGTCAAATTGAGAATAGATTAAATATTGTTTGTCTTTATTAATATTTTTTTATAGTGTAGCTATGGCGAAATTTGTGATTATAGAAGTATAAAAATACGATCATAATAGTGTACAAACTCATAATTCCAATTAATTATAGTCGAATTTCGACTACTGCGGGACCTCTAGTACTCATTTATATGTACACGAAAATCAGTCGTTTGTACATATTAAGGTTGACGTGAAGCTTGTCTGGGCGTTTTCAATGACACTGTTGTGCCTCGCATAATGAACGGACTCGTTATCATTTCGTATAGGTATAGAGACAGTTAATTACGAGATCTAGACTACCAGATAACTAGCTAGTATAACTATTAGATAAATCATATACTCGTAGTACAAGTCCGGTCTGTAATAGCCCTATAAATAGTACTTTGAATTGTTTGATTAAAAGAAAGATTTGTGAGTTAATTTTGTATCTCTTTCGTTTTTATTAAATTTAAATCCGAAACTATATAACTACATTACAACAAGATTAATTGGGAAAGGTTTGACGTTTGAATGTAGGTGTGTGTGCTTTTTTATGCCTTATTTGGGTGAACCAATTGACAATCTACCTGGAGTTAACGGTTACAAGAGCCTATGGACATAACGTGAATGATGCTACTCACCTGCTTTTGTCGTCGTGGCATAAAGGATAAGACGTCCGGTGCATTCGTGTTGAGCGATGCACCGGTGTTCGAATCACAGGCGGGTACCAATTTTTATAATGAAATACGTACTCGACAAATGTTCACGATTTACTTCCACGGTGAAGGAATAACATCGTGTAATAAAAATGAAACTCGCATAATTATAATTTGCGTAATTATTGGTGGTAGGATCTCTTGTGAGTCCGGGCGGGTAGGTACCACCACCCTGCCTATTTCTGTCGTGAAGCAGTAATGCGTTTCGGTTTGAAGGTTGGGGCAGCCGTTGTAACTATATTTGAGACCTTAGAACTTATATCTCAAGGTGGGTGGCGCATTTACGTCATAGATGTCTATGGGCTCCAGCAACCACTTAACACTAGGTGGGCTGTGAGCTCCTTCACCCATTTAAGCAATAAAAAAAACCTTGAGACACTGGGTTAAAATCTCTATTGCATTGTACTCATACAATGGCTGTTCTACCCTTCAAACTGGAAAGCACGATTGTTACATGGCAGAAATAGTGAGAATGGTGGAAATAGTTTAAAATACGCCCCGTCACCAGTAAATATATGTTTTTTTGCACTAACACTATTGTTGCTTTAGAATAATAAACCAATTTACAGAATACCCATATTAAGTAATTAAGTAGAACGCTGACGAGGTGGGGTTGCAGCTGAACTAATGTAAATATCTATAACTGTAATTTTATGTTTCTGTTCGACTCATAAAATAATTTAGATTTTTCGAATAAACGAAACTTCGCTTACGAGAAATTGGGAATTAATTTATTACTAACAATACAAGCAGTACAGTATGATTTTTTTTTTATTGTTTAGGTGGGTGGACGAGCTCACAGCCCACCTGATGTTAAGTGGTTACTGGAGACATCTACAACGTTAATGCGCCACGCACCTTGAGATATAAGTTCTAAGGTCTCAGGATAGTTACAACGGCTGCCTCACCCTTCAAACCGAAACGCATTACTGCTTCACGGCAGAAATAGGCGGGGCGGTGGTAAAACGATCTCTTTTCCTTCATTTCTCATTTCATTTCAGTGCCGATCAAAGAATTTGTGCTACATCAGATTGCAAGCTTGCATGGGTGGGTTCCACAATCCGTTCTGCCATGCCTAAACCTCCCATGCAACAGTCGTAGGTAGGGTAGTTTTTGTAAAAATGCCACGGAAACTTCCATTTTTTTTTATTGCTTAGATGGGTGGACGAGCTCACAGCCCACCTGGCGATATGTGGTTACTGGAGCCAATATGCATCTACAACGTAAATGCGCCATCCACCTTGAGATATAAGTTCTAAGGTCTCAGTATAGTTACAACGGCTGTCCCACCTTACAAACCGAAACGAATTACTGCTTCACGGCAGAAATAGGCAGGGTGGTGGTACCCACCCGTGCGGACTCATAAGAGGTCCTACCACCAGTACCATTTCGTATCTTAAGATAAGTGCCGGTTTTCAAGGTGTTTGCCTATGGGTTTCTGGTAACTGTATACATCGCTTAATCTTTTTATTTTCGACGGATATTTAGTTGGAAATGCAGATGTGCTGCGCATACATACAAGTAATTCGCATTTACAGACGAACTCATCTTTAAATATTTCACGTTTAAGAAAGTGCCGCTTAAATTTGTACACAAAACGCAGGCATTGTTTAGAACCACGTCAAATTAAAATGCACTCTATAACAATGAGTAAAGATGTTTTTCTTACTAGCTATGTATGTCAACTTAACATTATCCGACCTAGACCTGTCTACAATTTCATTATATTTACCGCAAATCTGTGTCACAACCTTGCACCGTTTACATTTTATTACTAAAGAACACCATTAGACTGGACCTATTCAAAACGTTTACTGTCACCATAAAAATATGTAAAGTTGCTCTAAAAGTACATTCGAGTTTCAACAGGAGTCTCGATGTGTTACATGTGATAAGAATGCTAAATATAATTTCATAATCAAATATAATTAAAAAAAATTGGGTGGATGTATGTATGTATATTCATCCTGGTACCCTTGGAGTTGGGCTGAATTCATAGCTTGAATTGAAATTTGCGTTACTACATCAGCTATCCTATCTACTCTTCAAATTAGAACACAGTATTGCTTNTTTCAACAGGAGTCTCGATGTGTTACATGTGATAAGAATGCTAAATATAATTTCATAATCAAATATAATTAAAAAAAATTGGGTGGATGTATGTATGTATATTCATCCTGGTACCCTTGGAGTTGGGCTGAATTCATAGCTTGAATTGAAATTTGCGTTACTACATCAGCTATCCTATCTACTCTTCAAATTAGAACACAGTATTGCTTCGTGGTAGAAATGAGTACAGTGAAGGTACTCACTCGTGCTGGCATTGAAATTTACTCACCACCAGTGCTTGTTTGGGGGTTTGGAATTACAAAAATAATTAAAGCAATAGGGAATGATAGACTGACCTATGGTACCTTTGACAGCAGTGGAATTTAAATGCGAATTGGGGTTTAGGAATTAGGCAGTTAGATATAGTATAAGAATGAAATGAATGAAATAATTTTTAATATCTTAATAAAATATTAATCAATTTATCGGAATATCGAATTAATTTATTCTAACGCTAAGGGGTTCTAAAAATAAAATAAAATAAAACAAGACAAAATCGCATTAAATTATTTAATGACGGTTCAACTTTTCATGAAAATAAGACAATATAAAAATGTTTATACCAAAACTCCTGATAATCTGAGCAAGTCACTATTTAATGTTATCAGCAAATTTGTTTAGAAGATGTAAGGGGAAGAAACGTATCTGCCGAAGAAAGGAGACGCTGGGGCGACTAAAGGAGCAGCAGGTGCGGCCACATATGGAGCTGAAGCCAACACTGGAGCCGCAGGGGCTGCTACATAAGGAGCTGGAGCTATGACTGGTGTGGCAACGGCATGGTTAACCGCGTGGGCTGAGTAGGAACTGGCGTACGGCGCTACATACGCAGCAGGAGCTACTGCTGGGGCGACCAGTGCAGCAGGAGCACTCGCGTTGGCGGCAGCGACGGCAAGAGTTAGAATGATCTGTAAATTAAAATATCCTTTAACAACGAATCTAGGCATCCGTGATCGAAATTCTTCGTATTGTAATCAAAAATCTAACTTACAACAAATTTGGCGAACATTGTGCTTGTTATCTGACTGCTTACAAGTGAGTTGTTGGTAGTGTCAAATGGACTGTGTCGTCCTCCGGGCATCGTCACGTTTTATACTGACTGCCGATTCGTTGGGCAACGCAACGCATACACGATTCCGAGTAATGCACAGGACGCCGTAGTTGGCACCGAAGTTTTTGACCTAGACTCGACAGACGAACGAAGCATTCTAATTTAGACTTGGTGCACACTAATTTCACAGCACATTATGTAATATAGATACAAAAAGAAAAGCGGCTGGACGTTACAACGCTATTGTAATATTAGATTCAAAATAATCCTTACGTAAAAGAATATGAATCTAATTGTTATTCTACCATAATAAATACCGTTTATTTCTGTGTTTAATTATATTATTATCTATTTTTAATGTATTTCTGATTACGATGGCTGGTTTTATATAAGAAATTACTTGAGAAATGATATTTGTCTAAACTAACCCGGGTTCTTAAGTATTGAAATATTACTGACTGAATTTGGAAAAAGAGTTTCCATCATCAAGTTGATCGTAGCTTTCAGTAAACTATTTCATTATGAATTTTAGCTTGGTATTATGTTCATTATAAGCGTAATCAACGCTTATAATGAACATATTTCGGTTAGAACGATAAAGATTTTAATTCCCCAGAATCAAAATTTTCATTGTTTGTACAAAATGTTGTCGTGGTTGTTTGAAATGCATTCTGCATAATTAGTGGTTGCCGAAATGATTTCGATTACTGCCACGAAAAAAATTTCCCAATCTGATCCATTTCACCTCGCGCGCCTTTGAGAATCCGAAATGCACGACCGCAATACGTCAAAGTGTATTTTGTCGAACGACATTTGAATCACAATAAACCAGGTATAAAAGGCGAAATTTTTCTTCGGGTGCCACACAATACATCCTCTTTTCGTTTAGAAAGGTCCACTGCCAAATCTAGCAAGATGTTCTCTCTCAAATCTGTAAGTTAATTAACACGAATCGTAAATTTTTGTTTGTAAAAGGTTTTATAATTGCAGCCATTATTAGTGATACAATATTTTGTGTTTTTTCAGATCGTACTCATCGCTGCTGCCTTTATAATTGGAGCTGAATCGAGTGCAGTCGCAGCTGTTCCAGCAGTAGCCGCTGCTCCTCTGGTTGCTCCAGCCCACGTGGGATACGCTCAGGCTATACCTCAGAACATTCCTCCATACGCTGCACAAGTTAATATCGCCAGCAGGGCATTGAGTCCTTTGATAGCAGCACCGGCCTTCGCTCCTGCCGTAGCCCCTGTTGCAACTCCATTTGCTGCTCCTATAGCTGCACCCTACGCTGCACCTTTTGCTACTCCAATAGGTGCGGCACCTCTTGCTGCTCCAGTAGCGGCATCCTATGCTGCTTCGCCATACTATGCTGGTGCTGCTCCAATCCTGCCAGCGGCTCCCTACACTCTCCCTGCTCCTGCTGCATACGCTGCCGGCTACCCATATGGTCCAGCACCTCTAGTACGTTCCCCGTATGGATTTGCACCAGCGTTTGTTCGATAGATTGAAAAAGAACACAAGGCCTTTCTACAAAGACTTAAAACAAAGACTTATTAGTTGATATAGTTTGTATTGTTGATGAAATAAAGTTTTGTTCAAATGTACTTATGTATTACCCTTTTCATTGCTTTTCTCATATTAGGAAATACAACTGTGTCGATGTTCAAATTCTGGTGGCAGATATAAAATTTTCTGCGGAAATGCGTTTTTAATAGCTATTTACGAACGAAATCCACGAAGAACAAATACCGATGTCGTGTATTAAAAATCGATCACTACAAAGTTCATATGATAACTTTCATAATTTACGTAGTTCCTGGTGTAAGCACAGATAGGCAAGCACCATCATGCTCCATATTTCAGCTGCGAAGCAGTCATCCTTTTCAACAATCTAAGCACCAAAACATAGAGCTAGAGATGTGAGGTCGAACTTTCTAGTAGATTTAACTCACTCATTCATTGGTAAACCAATTAAAATTCAATGCACATAAATTACAAAAAGCATGTTTTTCACATTGGATTATGGTTATTTTGTTAATTTGTTACTTTTGTAACACTCATGAATGGAAAATGAATATGAGTTCGTCTTGTGTTCATTAATATAGTGTGGGATATAATATCGGATCTGAAGAGGTCCGTTGCTGAATCCTAACAGTTTACCCAAGTGACCAACTCTTACAAATTTTTAGAGTACCACAACACAAACAAACAACACAAATTAGTGTCAACAAAGTTTGACGTAAGATCATTTCAATCAGGGTCCTATGTTATTTGAATCTGCTTGTACTGTAAATGAAACTTAATGTTATTATATATACAGAATAACGGCCACACTCAGAGACCTATAACCTAAATTTATCTAAAATTGGGTCTTTAGCGTTTCATCGTTAATCAACTTTTTCTTTATGCTAAATGTTTTTCTGTAAAGCTACTTCTTTTAAACTGTTTTACCTTAAAGGTGTATCTTTGTTATTCTACTCATATTGAAGTTTAAACGCGTATCGCATTACTTAGAGACATAGCAGAAAATCAGTTTTGCCAATTAAGTAACAATTACTATTATTAATTACATTAATCCACAGTTCGTCAAGTATTGTTCATTCATGAACGGTTATGATCATTTGCAAGTTGAGGTGAGTGTTAGGAACATCTGCTTTATATATCCTCTGTGTTAGAAATATAGTCTTAAAATTTTGGACTTTCAATTTGGTTTTGCACTTATTATGGTGGATTCATTTCGTTAGCATGTATTGTGATTTAAATAATACATGGCCTCTAAATTATTGTATTTTATTTACAAAATGTATAAAATAATCTTAACACTAACACACATTTAACAACTACTATAACAATGATTGACTAAGTTTCTATAATACTAAATCATTTCCACGCTTGTTTTATAACAGGCGCTAAATGGGCATACTGGTGGAATCCATATGGAAGTGCCTTTGCTACTGCTATGGGAGCAGGAGCTGGTGCAAAGAGAGGGGCGGGTACAGCAGGAGCTGGCAATGCCACAGGTCTCACAATAGGCGCAAATGGCACTGCGGGTAGTGCTGGTAATGTTCTAGTAAAAACAGGAGCGGGTAAGGCAGCTACTGCGGGTGCGAATTTAGGTAATACGGAGTTATAAAATGGGGCTGGAGCATAAGCTGGAGCCAAAGCTGGGGCAGGAGCAGGGAAAATTGGCGCTGGAATTCCTGCAGGTAAGGTTGGTGCGGGGAATACGGGAGCAGGCAACAGGCGACCCGGTAATGGGGCTGGTAATACAGGAGCCGGCAATGGCGCTGGAAACAGCGGAGCTGGCAATGGTGCTGGAACAAATGGCGCCGGAGCTATAGCAGGTGCTACTGCATGAATAGAACGCGCTCCAGGAAAATTGTAGAATGGAGCATATCGTACAATAGGGTACGACCTGACTGCTGGCACTATGTGTCCTATGCCGCTTGCTTTACAACCCTCTATGATGAGGATGGTGGAAACGATCTGAAAATTAATTTACGTCAAATAATTATGTATTATCCTTAAGCGACGAGAAATTAGTAACATAAATTTGCAATACCGTTAAATTCAGGAAACTTACTAGTCTTAGTACAGTCATTGTGATTTATTTTTTGCGACTTGATTAGTCGGTTATCAAAGTCGAAGTGTAAGGATCAGTGTGTCACACAGGTTATATAGTTCATACTGTTGCAAGCATTACGTCTATGTAAGTCGTACTTAGTTTCACTTTCCTTCGGCAGGACATGCGCATGCTAAATTAGCTGTCAACACGGACGCTGCCGATTGCCGAATTTGTCATACAACTAACCGTTCATAGAAGTGTTATACAATATAAGTATCAATTAAAAAATCCAAGAGTGTTTACTGTGGTGGTCCAGCCTTCTTGGAATTCAAATAAATTTAATTTTTTTCTTTAAATATTATTTAAAAAGTTTTTCTACATTATGACTAAATTTAAATTTGTTTAAACACCTATTTCTTAGTAAAGTAAAATTGATATTTACTATTTCCATCTAAGTTGCCTGGAATTGTAGCTAAGCACTTAAAAACCAAAACTATCACGAGTCTGGTCCTAAAACTGTTACAATAAAAATTGATATAGTTATTTTTGTAGGGACCAAAAATAGTGGTCCTTATTGAGCCTTTACTATACATTAATTAAAACAAGTAAAATCCACAGCTAAAGAACATATTATATAATCTTAGTTACCTAACGGAGGGATCATTTCCTAATTCGGAATCAAACGCCAAGGCCGCGAAAATTATCCACATGACGCTTTCTACATAATCCAATAGCCATACAAGTTAAAACTAATCAAGTTTCGTTTCAAGGCGCTTTCAATCAAAGCCATTTTTATGTCTACGGCCAAGTCGCGAAATTCGCATATCCTTGAAGTAAAATAAACTACAAGTAACTTGTTCAGGGCCTTTGGTAATACGTGATTTTCATCAAAATATTATGGTTACGCACGTCCATATGCGTTGTTATTAAATGTTGTCATAACCAGGTAACCAAAGTTTCAACATCGATTTGCAATTGTTTTGATTACCTATGTCAGTTTCATTGCCAATTTTTCTGTATGTAAATTTATCATATATCACAAATATACCTCTCTATTACATTTTCAAATAAAGAAGACTAAAGGTGGTAAAGGATCGTAATTTTTAAGCAGACATTACATTTGGTGTATTCTTGGGTCGTATCAATTTTTTGCTATTATTTATAGCAATCTAGGTTTCTTGAAAGAGTGTAAAGGATAAATGGATTTATTTTTATTATAGAATCATTTCATCAGACATCTACGTATTCGAAAACATGATCCAGGATAAATATCATATTAGTTATTTTACTTTGATCGTATTATGTAAATGACCTAAATACATGACTCAAATCAGTTCATGCATGAAGGATGTCCTCATTCTATTATAGTAAGCAAAATATAACCGTATTTGAATCGACTCGTAATTACTTGGGGACGTCACGATTAAATTACGTATGCAGTAAACGTTTGGATCGCGAACAAATTACTTCAACAGCGAAGGCAGCATATGGGCGGAGTGCTATCAGTCCAAAAATGTTGTCTAGTATCTTCCTCCAATATTTTACTAAATATCTTTTATTATCGCTCTTAATGATTTTCATATTTTTTTACACTGAAATGATATGATTGAATTGATCTTTTTTTATTTTTTTTTATTGCTTATATGGGTGGACGAGCTCACAGCCCACCTAGTGTTAAGCGGTTACTGGAGCCCATAAACATCTACGACGTAAATGCGCCACCCACCTTGAGATATCAGTGCTAAGGTCTCAGTATAGTTACAACGGCTACCCCACCCTTCGAACCGAAACGCATTATTGCTTCACGGCGGAAATAGGCAGGGTGGTGGTACCTACCCGCGCGGACTCACAAGAGGCCCTACCACCAGTGATTACGCAAATTATAATTTTGCGGGTTTGGTTTTTATTACACGATGCTATTCCTTCACCGTAGAAGTCAATCATAAACATTTGTGAGTACGTATTTCATTAGAAAAATCCACCGGACGTCTTATCAATATAATGAGACTATTTGTGTCAGTAAAAGACTGACGGTCCACATAGTTTTCGTGCTGAAGGACCAACATATTAGAGAATTATTAGAAAACAATTAAAGAATCCTGTTCGAAAACAAAGTATTTATCAATTAAGTAGATATAGCAGCCGGAGCCATATCGCCCATTTTAAAATGTTACCTTTTAGCTCATAAGAGATGTTATTTAACTTCATAGTTATTATTTAACCGATAATAAAAAAATGGATTTAAGCGAAGTCGCTGTTTGATTGTACTTTATGGTTCCTTTTTGATGATAAGACATCTTCTAAATGCCTGCTGCAATCGATAACTGGGCACAAAGTTAAAACGATTTTATGAAAGCAATAGTCGATCATTTTGAATTAGCTTAATATTTTTAAAATGCTTATATCAAAGTACTGTTACGCTGGTAAGAGTAACGCCATCTATCGCCGAATAGCCGAACGAATATCGAAGCATCTAGAACGCTCGAGAAGTACATCGCCATCTATTGTCAGATAGCGGAAACACATAATACCCGGCTTTTGTGGAATATTCTTGATAATTCTAGGGATGTCGTATCGACTATAAAAGCGTTGCAGAAATTGCACCAGTCAGTTAGTAATCGGAACTACTCGAAGCGAAACAGCGAATGGATCACCTGAAGCGAAGCGGAAGAAGTCAATTGAGAATGTTAATTCTTTTTTTTGCAAGAAAACATTGTTTTTCTTCTACTACACAAAACATTTATAAAATCAGTATGCGTCAGTTTGTACTGTTACGCGCTGGGGTTTGGGATAAAAAAATGTTCCACCAAAGTACAACTTAAAACTGTATTTATCAGTTACAAGAATTTAACAAGTTTTTGTTGAGTGAATTGAGAATGTGAATTGAGAATATTAATTCTTGCAAAAAAAAGACTACATTAGAGACATATTGAGGAAATAAACTTTGTTTCATCGTTTAACTTTGTCGTTGCGCATTTTAGGTATGAGGAGGTACATTTTACGTCGTAGGGCTAGTAGTAGAGTATCTTGTGAGCTCTCACAGTTAAGTATTACTACCCTGCCTATTGCTGCCGCCAAACCCTAATACGTTCAGGCTTGACGGCTGGGACAACCGTTTTACTACCGAACTGAGACTTAGAACTTTTGTCGCAAGGTGGGCGATGACATTTACGTTATTAATGTCTATGTGCTCCAGTAATCACTTGACGTCTGGTAGCCTATGAGCTGGTTTACTCAACTAAGCATTAAATAAATCAAAACTTCAAGTTACTAAAAACATTTTCACTTTTAATGTTTTTTGAAATTTTGGAACGATTCGTTGTAACAAATAATGATGCTACCTTGTTATAGTTCGAAACGGTGTCACCTTTTCAAACGATATTGTATATATTTATGAGTTTTTAAGCTATACTATCCGAGTAAGATACTATTTTCGGCATGTTTATTTCACGATTTCGCTATAAAAAAGTTTGTTTTCGGACAAAAACCTCACAGATGTCATTCTATTGTACAACAGAGCGTGTTCAAAAAGCTTAGACCCGTTTCAATATCACTTTTAGTACAAAAAAATGTTTTTCTTTCAAGTATGATTGATGGAAATTTGTTCAGCCATTTTCAGTACCCATAATAAGGGGATTGGTGTTATTTTGGACCCAATTTCAAAAGAGATATGCGGATTATATTTTAGCTGTTCAGGAATAATATTATTGTTTTTACTGGTGGTAGGACCTCTTGTGAGTCCGCGCGGGTAGGTACCACCGCCCTGCCTATTTCTGCCGTGAAGCAGTAATGCGTTTCGGTTTGAAGGGTGGGGCAGCCGTTGTAACTATACTGAGATCTTAGAACTTATATCTCAAGGTGGGTGGCGCATTTACGTCGTAGATGTCCATGGGCTCCAGTAACCACTTAACATCAGGTGGGCTGTGAGTTCGTCCACCCATCTAAGCAATAAAAAAATAAAAAATAAAAAAATAATACGACGATCACAGATCGAAATTTTATAATTAATTAGCGAATTAAAACGCGGTTGCGTCTCTCAGTGGCCGATAGCATTTCTGTCTCTCGTAGTTCTTGAATATTTGTTTAGCTGTAATACGTTCGCTCGGTATTTTTTGGAGAAAAACATCGGTAGGTTCAAACAATACCCTTTTAAAGTCTCGCATAAAGTAGTATTCATCTCTCGAGGCATACTATTGAGGAAGTGAGGCGATTTCTAGGTCAGATGGTGGCTGTGATGGTAGGATAGAGATGAGGGGAATCTCTTTAACCCTCAGAGCACGGAAAAAACTTACACAAATCTATTCAATGGATAGAATTAAGCTAAAGTCAATGTGAGAGACACTGGAAAGTTCTTCAGATATAAGGGTCGAAAGTTTGTCTTAAGCCATATTCAAGAGAAGCTCGCACTGTATTGCAATCCAAATCAGTTCCCTCTTAATATTTTTTTCATTTTATCATATTTTATATTGATTTGACGTTTCGAATTCAATTTAAATAGTTTGCAAGTAACTATTTACATCTACTTTATAAAGTAAATACGTATTTGTAGATGTAATTACATTGAAATGAAAACATAGAACGCAGGCTAAGTCAACGTATAACAATTTAATTGTGCATATTTCAACGATTATGTTAAGTGAGTATAATTCATTTATTGTTTCGTATAAGCAATAACGTTACGTAAATTTCATTAATAGAGCACATGTTTTAATTGTCCTGGATTACGCGTCACACATTGATTCGGCAGCGATCTTTGTGTAGATGGGTATTGAAGACAGAAATAGACCAGCCTAATTTTCATTGTGTCCATTTCGAGTAATACGGCTTCTTTATGTAAAACGCTTGTTTGGTCGCATGACGAATTACTTCTGCCAAGGTCCACTTGAAAACTTCCTTGAAATGTGATTTGTAACTAATTGTAAACAAATAATTTCATGCGTCATTGGTGTTTCGATTTTTTGAAGTGAAACTTCTTTACAATCGTTGTAATTTCAAACTCGATGAAACGAAAAAATAAGTCCAAAGAGATACAAACACATAAATGTGTAGGATTCAGCCGGAGAGAGAATGAGATAGAACACATTAGACGTTCTCGGTCTCCTCTTTGTGCGACTTCGTAGCATCCCCACTATCGTCTACTAAACATTGTCCATATGTATGCTCCTGTGTAGCAGGATAGTCAATATATCTATATCTTATTTATAAGTTTCACTTCTACCGTGTGTGACTTGCACACACACACACCCTTATTTTTCTACTTTTCAAAAATATAATTAAATTATGATGGATAAATAAAAAATAATAATTAATCAGTACAAAATTGTTTTATTGGATTAGATATGGTCTAGGTTTGTTCAGTTCTTTCACTTGAGGGCGACGAATGGAGCAGAAGCATAGGGTGCTGCGATGTAAGGAGCAGAAGCATAGGGTGCTGCGATGTAAGGAGCAGAAGCCGCAATATACGGCGATGCTGCATAAGGAGCTGCGTAGCGAGCGTATGTAGGAACAACTGGAGCAGCTGCAGCTACGTACGGTGCTGCCGCTGGGGCTACTAGTCTGGCAGCTGGAGCGAAGCTGTATGAAGCAGGGGCAGCTACCAAAGGAGCAGCGGCAGCAACTAGACCGTTGAAGTTTCTAGAAACGTACTGGGAGCTTGTGGCAGTGACGACCGGAGCGGGGGCTGCTACAAGGGGTGCTGGGGCCGCTAACAGAGGCGCTGAAGCTGCCACCAGAGGTGCTGGAGCTGCCACGATGGCGCTGGGTTTGGCTGACGCCAATGCGACGGTGGCGAGGAAAAATACCTGTATCCGTAAAGAAAACTTGATTTAAATTATGTTTAAGTATAGGAAAACTCAATGAGTATTGTATTCGATCAACAAATTTAAGTAATAGATATTTTAGAGAAAAATAATGCTAAATAAAAAAATTACTTACGATTTTGTACATTTTTGTAAGTTTGTGTTGTTCGTTCTGAGTGAACAGAAGATGCGAGTGATGTCCAATGTTTGGTGACATTACCTTTTATACTCTGGCGGTGTAAGATTCACCTTGTATTGAGTTTCGTCAGAGGCATGCAACGTCTCGAGACTCCGATCACGAACGGGGGCGCACGTAACATCCAATGTACTGGACACACGCAAATGGTTAGCTCGGCTAGTTTTTTGGCAATAAACAGCTATCACATTGCGATCGAAATAATTATATTCATTGTTCAAGTGTTCAAATCTATACTAATATTATAAAGAGGAAAGATTTGTTGTTTGTTTGTTTCGAATAGGCTCCGAAACTACTGGACCGATTTGAAAAATTCTTTTTCCATTAGTAGCCGACATTGTCCCTGATGAACATAGGCTACTTTTTTAAATGTTTTTTTTAATTTTTTTTTAATATTTTTTTTTTGTTTCATGTGTGTTTTAATGTTTCCGAAGCGAAGCGAGGGCGGGTCGCTAGTGTATTATAAAAAGGTTTTGATTAAATTTTTTGATACGCTAAATCATTATTAATCATCAATATATCTATATACATAAAAATGTATTGCTCGCTAAAACTCGAGAACGGCTGGACCGATTTGCCTAATTTTGGTCTTGAATTATTTGGGCAAGTCCAGAGAAGGTTTAAAAGGTAGATAAATATGAAAATGCTCGGAATTAAATAAAAATAACAATTTTGTTTTCCCTTTGATGTGTCCCTCGTCAGAGGGTTCCTTTTGTTTGTTTTAAGTTTATTTTATACAAAAGTTTGGGTCTTTTATTTGTCGATTAAGGCATTATGTAGTCTGCTGGGTCAGCTAGTTATGGTATATTTTAGTTTTGTGTTTAGTTCATTTCTGTAATTCACATAAATTATGTAAATGACTACAGCAATGGCAGAGCCAAGCCGCTGCCCATCGTTATGTACTCTCCACAAGCCTCGTTTGAAAAGTGATCATAATAATAATATTAAGATAAGTAAATCTATTATTCCGGCTTTATTTAGCAATTTACAATTTTAAACCATTTCCCACATAGTTTTAAAGCTGCTACCGGAGCTTATCAATATTAAAACGCGGATGCCGTCACGGTATGACATCAGGTCAAAGTGTCAAAGAAAAAAAGCAGTAATGTACAGAGCAGGAAGGACTACCTGCGGCTCTTTGAAATATTATTTGTGACTCTCGATAAATGTACTCGAGTTTCCGTTTNTTAGCAATTTACAATTTTAAACCATTTCCCACATAGTTTTAAAGCTGCTACCGGAGCTTATCAATATTAAAACGCGGATGCCGTCACGGTATGACATCAGGTCAAAGTGTCAAAGAAAAAAAGCAGTAATGTACAGAGCAGGAAGGACTACCTGCGGCTCTTTGAAATATTATTTGTGACTCTCGATAAATGTACTCGAGTTTCCGTTTTAATTTTTGTGTTATTATATTAAAAAAAAAAATTAGCGTTCCATATGTGTTTCAAAATCAATAATTCAATTCAAAACCTGAAAGAATTACTGAGAAGTGATGTCACCAATTATTACCAATCAGTCACCGAATTTTAAAGAATTATCAAAACAAGTAAAATAAGTTTGTTTAATTATTAATATTTAAATTTTTTAAACACATAATTTGTACTTTTATGTATATGTTTGCAACATATATAAATTTGTAAAAAAATTAATTTTTGCATACTTTTTATTACGTATTTAATTGCGGCTGCAGAATAATTTCAAATTTTAAAAAATGGATCTGAGTACCAAGGAGTTTGGTCCCCCTGGTATTACTGGTGGAGTTTTCTTTTCATAACATGATCTTTTTTCTAGTTTTTTATTGCATTGACTAGTGAATGAATTCGTGGCATAGTGTTACATGGATACTGGAGCCACAGACATGAGATATAAGAGTCGTCTATTAACAAAGGTGGCAATCTGTGCATTTGGACAAAAAAATGTTATTGATATGTCAATACAGATTGATTTGAATATAGTCGTCTCCTTCAAAGAATACGGTTCAAAACCTATCTAAGATGTCGTTCAGAAGAGTTTTGTGACTGCCAATGGAATACAAAGTCAATAATTCGTTTTTCTGATTTACCAATAATTAATTGTCCAAAAGTCACATTGCCGGCTTTGATAATAGTCGACTCATAAGACTTATATACATTATACATATGTCTCGATTGTATAAAAAAAACCACTATGTCACCCCTCAAATATTATTTGGTTTGCTTCCTTCTGCTTCTAATAAGCATGGTGAAACATTACGCTTACAACACTTTACAACAGCAATAATGGGCTCAATTACAATTAGTTAAATTCGATGGATTCAAATGAAGAAAGGAGCAATTTGACTAAAAATCTGACCTGATGTTTATGGGCTACACTAAAAGCTATAGGAAGGACGGTTACCTGATCAGCCCGTGTAGACGAAGCAATCAATGCAACGTACATCTATTGGTTTCAATTCGTATTTTTGTTTTCCTTTTACAAACCTTTTCTCCTTTCCTGTTCCTTTTCTTTTAGATTTTTTCTTTTGCAAGCATTTCTTTTATTATAACCTAGCTGACCCGGCAGACTTCGTAATGCCTCAATCGATAAATAAAAGACCTAAACTTTTGCATAAAATAAACTTAAAACAAAAAAATGAAAAACAAAATTGTTATTTATATTTAATTCCGAGCAATTTCATATTTATCATTTATCAAGATCAAAATTAGCCAAATCAGTCCAGCCGTTCTCGAGTTTTAGCGAGACTAACGAACAGCAATTTATTTTTATATATATAGATTAGAACCACGTTCTCTTATCTAACAGACATAAATTTTTACTTGTAAGCTCAGTTTTTATGAAAATGTATTTTTATGGTAAGCATGACCTGAATCGATCGAATCGAAGGATTTCCTTCAGATAACGAATTCTTGTCAACAGTACAGAGACGAAACACCCACTGAGTTTCTCGCTGGATATTTTTAGTGGGTCGCGATTCCGATCCGGTGGTAGATTCTGCGAAGCACTTCTCTTGCTTTATTTTTCAATTTATAGCTTTCGTGACTTTTTGCAAAAACTGAAACCGGTAGAAATAAAAATTCAAATTTTATTCAGCAAGAATGCCAGTGGGTATATTGTTATATTAGCATTACAATGCTCCATCATTTATGCCGGCGGACACAAAATCTACGTGAAACGTGTCTTATTTTGCAGACTGCCCGTTGTAATCGCTGTGAAGGTTTCATCTATACATATAAATAAGATTGGAGTGTCTGTTTGTAATATTGAAATAGCCTCTTTTTACTACATGCATTATGAATATATAGACGGTACATACACCAAAATAAAAAATTGTACAATTTTTGTCTGTCTGTCTGTTTGTTCCGGCTAATCACTGGAACGGCTGGACTGATTTTGACGGAACTTTTACTAATAGGTAGCTGATGATATAAGGAGTAATTTAGAATACTTTTTTTAGACTAGCTTCACCTCGCGGTTTCACCCGCGGTACGACAAATACCGCGGGTAACATCTCGGAACTCACCTATTAATAATAAAATTTAATGTTTCCGAAGCGAAGCGAAGGCGGGTCGCTAGTTTAATAATACATTTAAATGACACCTAACTGAGATTATACTAGTATGTGTCAAATTCAACATTAATAACGTTTCAGAAATGTACAGTCGATATTTTACTCGTAGTACAAAGGTAAATAAAATTGAAGATTTTAGAATTAGGCAGGATGGTGGTATCTAGCCGTTCGGACTCACAAGACCTCCTACCACCAGTATTTTAATGTAATCTAAAATATAACGATTCCTAAAATCAAGTTTCACACTATAAAACATTTTCTGTGTATTCGAAGAGGGTACGGAACATACCCTCACCGCGGTGGCGTCTGCATGTATGGAGCCGGCAAGGTCGTCCCAAAAAATAGTAGGGCAACTAGGATACAATGCTCGTCAGAGATTTCTTTCCGCCCAAAAATGACCACACGTCATCGTTTTTATACATGACAAATTTCACTCGAAGCAGAAATAAGTACTAAAGGTACTATTAGAAGAAAAAAATCACATTAAATGGGTGTAAGAGCTCACAACCAAATTAGTTTTGAGTAGTTAGGCGAACTCATTGAAATAATAACATGAATTTCCTCGCTCATCTTGATGTCAAAGTCTCAATTACATGAGTGAGAACTCTTCAAGTCGGAACAAATTAATACAAACAAACCTATCATGAAACATTTAAGATGGGGTGAGTACCCTCAAATTACAATTAGCTGCTAATTAGTGAAATACTAACACGGACTATTGAAATGAATCATTTTTAAGTACGTTTGTAATTTTATGATTTTTATCTGAAATCTTTAAGTACTTTTCACTGATTTCACATTTAAAATTGTTTCTCTTCATGTAGTTCTAGCCTTAAAGGCACCACTCCGTGATATTTACCACAACGAAAATATTTAAGCAGTGCTTATACGTTCCGTTTTAGATAATGTGTCCTATAACGCGCAATTGACTCAGCTCGTAGGCATTGTATAATAAAGGCGTGGGTTTCGACACAGTACCTATACATTATACCTATTAGCTACCCAGATTTTGTCTCGTTTCTGCTTAACAATAAATTAGTCTTGACGCAAAAGCAAAACCCACACGATACAGATTTAGATTTTTGTTAAGTAATTTATTTACATAAACACAAACAATTATCATGTTTTCTTTTTTTTATTCTAATACATTACTTAAACTTAGCTGAACTTAGCTGTACATTGTGCTTATAGTTAACAGGTGATAACAATTGCTCTAAAAGTAAAATGGACTAAACCTTTGGTGGTTTTTGATGTGTTCCCGATAGCGGTCTAAAAGTAGTCGGTTCGGCATTCTTGTTCAAAGGTTTTTGGTTTTGTGAAAGAACACTTCTCGTGGCGATGGCAGCTTTGTGCCCGTACGTGTGTGCCGGTCTCTTGACTTGACGTATCCTCAAAGACGTTGGAACTTCTCTTATTATGACTTTCGAACTAGGCTCCGCTGCGAAGCCGTATATGTGTTTTATTATTTTAATGTGACGGTGTGGCTGTTGTCTTGTAGCCGGTGGTGGCGCTATGTATGCCAGAGGGATGGGTACCACTTCGACTGACGTCTTAAGTGTCTGGGGTGCATCCTTGATAGGGTAATGCACGTGTTGCGACCAGCCTTGTGGCTTTGGTTGTTGTGGCCAGGGTCGTACAGGGGTAGTAGTACTCGACGATTGTCCTGTTGCTTCTGCTTGTGGCAAAGGCTGTCGTTGTGGTAAAACTCCGTTACAACGCTTACATCCTTGGAACTGCGGAAGTTGAGGTTGTGGTAAAGGCATTCCGTATTGCTTAAAATTGACATTTTCGTTCGAAGGTAAAGCTTGTACAAAGCTATTGTCACTGTTCGACGGAACAGGCGTCGTTTCCGGTTCCCTCACAGTCGTGGTAGCTTCTGTTATTCGTGTTGTTGGCACAGGAGTTGTCGTTTCTTTCGGTTTCTCTTCAGGAACATTAACTGGTTGCTCTGGTTGTATGTACCCAAAACCAGGTGGGAATCCGAATGGATAAGGAGGTAATAAAATCGTTGCTACTGGTGCAGCAGCATGAGCTGTCGCAACCGCTATAGCAACGTTAGGTTGTTGCGTGGCGTCGGGTGTTGGTTGAACGGGATTTGCTGGTGCTGGAGTATTATTCGGTACTGGAGACACAAAAACAGCATGTTGTGGTGTAAAAACAGGTTGCTGTTGTGGCACATGTATAAATTGTTGTGGTGGCGATGCTAACACGGGTGGTGGTTGACCTTGTAATACTACAGGAGGTGGCGCAGGCGCTGGTATAAAGACTTGGTTTGGTTGTGGCACCGGGACGACAGCTGGAGGTGGTGGTGCAGGAGCGGGGACCAGTACCTGAGGAGGTGCTGCTACTAAACGGTTAAACGTCCTCTCAAAGTACTGTGAGCTTGCAGACGTTACGACCGGACCCGTTGCCGGAGCATGACCGATACCAGAACCGTCCACGTATGTAAAGACAGCCAGGGCTATTATTACCTGAAAAATAAACAGTTATTAAAATTAATTTAATGTAAATTCATTACTCGACTCGTTTTTGTCAAAATTGCGCTGATGATTTACGGTAAATTATTAAATATCGTCATTACCTGGTGCAGCATCGTGAGGTCGCCTCGCATGACCACTATGAAAATTATAATGCCGGTGCTAGAAAATGGACTCCTCGTTTATATATAGGTGTAACAAATTTTGCATCGTGGTGTGGCAACGTGGCGGGTGTCGCGGAATACTTAATGGTACAATATGTAAGGACGCGAACCTTGATGGCTACAAAAATCGTATTGAAAACGCCCAACGAATAATAATACTCGGTAGCCCATTGGGAAAGTACCGTTGTATGTGTTGGCAATGGCTATAACGATTTTGTTAATTGCAATATTATTTCCTATCAGATAAATCGACGAAAAAGAGCCTCTCTCAAGCGTATTGGTCTAATCTTCCTCGTGTCTGACTAACTAATGCTTGAAGACGCAAACATTGGCTGCTCTTGAGACACTGTACGTGCTCAGATTGTTACAATAAGGTACGCCTATAGCACTTAATAGTCGGTAATAGAATAGACAGTGAAATTTTCGTGTACTTTAGTATAAATTAGTTTTAATAAGCTGGATAAGCTGATTAATGTAATTAACGACTTTTAAAGATTTGTTGTTCATAGTATTTATATATTGGTAATTATATCTTTTGTAACGTTGCAAGGTATTTAAATATGTAATATTATGTTGTTTCGAATTGCGAGTTTAAATAAAAATTAATGCGTATTTTGGCTTATATTTAAATTGTGAGTCGAAATGCTTGTTTAAAATTGTTTGCGGGATTTAATAAATTCAAAATTCGACAAATGGCGCCTTTTTCAGTTCAGTTCGTTTTTTCAGCTCATATTATGTACGTAATGTGAAGTGTGTGCTCACTATTAGTTTGTAAGCGATGTACTACGTGTGCTCTTGGTATAGCTACCGTATTTTATCCCATTTTCCTTTACAAGCGTTAGCCAAAAACTATTTAAAAACATTAGCAAGCTAGAATTTAATTCCTTTCATTAAAACATACATGCGAATAAGAGGTTGGTCACTAGTAAAGTGAAATGTGGCTGAGGATTTTAAATTAATTCTTAAATAGTTTTAAAAAAAGTTAGGTGTGTTAAAATTTGTATGAATATATTTTTTTTTATTCCTTTAATTATTATGTACTTACTATATAAGATGCAGATGAATGAAAAATAGTATAGGTAATTATGTTTTTTGTGTGTGATTTATACGTTCGCACTTCGCTTATTCGATTGATTTGAACTTGGTTGACTAACTATATTATAAAATCAACGCGTGACGTATGAGTAGTATCAACAACACGTTTTTTTTTGTATAGCCGATACCAATGCCGATAAACAAAGATAATAAACAATACAGGAAACATAAATTTTTAAGCGCCTAATGGTATTGTCGTTCAAAAGTTTTACGCCATCAATGCTATGCGTTTTAAGCGCGTTTTTGCGCCGGTATTGTAAGATTGGTTTGGTAGACTAATAAATAAATGGAAATTGGTAGACAGATTCCGCAATGAAATTGAAAATGGTAAACAATAAATTCTGGTTATTTACTTGTTAAGCAATTTTTGCTCTAATAAGCAGATGTGCCCAAGCCTAGCAGTGATCCAAGTCTATAGACCCCATATTTTGAATGTCACAACCAACATCGTTGCACAAGGTTGGAATTTGAACAACAGCTATATTATTAGATTTTTATTACATCTCTATTTTTTATTGCTTTGATGTACAAGTATGAACGAGCTCACAGCCTATCCAATCGTTCATTTAAACCAGTATGCATGTCTGCTTCGCGGCAGTATTAGGCGGATAGACTTTTTTATGTTTGAGAGATTACTTGAGGACTTTCCAGTTTTACCAGGGCAGGTGGGCGAGTAAAGGCTCAGTCAGGACGGGTAGGATTTGCTAACAGCTACCCGAGCGCCTCCAAAGGAGACCTAACAACTCAAGAGTAGCTGCTTCGCGAATGTATTTAATACCGGATCGGAATCGCGACCCGCTGAGAAGATCTGGCGAGAAACTAAGCAGGCGGATAGACTGCGATTCATACCAATTATCTATTCGCCTACTTAAAAACACAATGCAATATTGGTTTGCGGCAACAGGTAATAAGATCGTTGCATCCAGCGCGAGTTTTCAACAAACTTGTCAAAGTAGTATTTAAAAAGAAAGTAACCCGTTTTGTTTTCTGGTTTTCTGAAATTTCGTCGTTTGAATGAAATATACCTATATGTTTACAGTACAGCAGTCTGTTTTTGTATCAGAAAGGCACCCGGTAATAAGTTCCCTTAAAATAACCAGAATGACAACAGCATTGACGCCATCCTCTGAAAACGTGAAGGACAAATCACAACAGATTTGTAATTCATTCGCAAAGCAGCTGCTTCTTGAGTTGTTAGGTCTCCTTCGGAGGCGCGCGGGCAGCGTTTAGCAAATCCCACCCCTTCTGGCTGAGCCTTTGCTCGCCCTCCTGTCCTGGTGAAACTAGAAAGGCCTCCGGGCCACCACTAAACTTTCAATCGTAAAAAAAAACGATTTGTTATACGGTTCTCGTGTTCTTCAGAACACTTTACCGCAGAAACGGGTAAGGGTAGACAGTTAGATAATTAAGAAGTACAATTTAAAATAAATACATATCGAAGGGTGAAATGCTATTTAGATTTTTTTTTTATTCCTTAGATGGGTGGACGAGCTCACAGCTCACCTGATTTTAAGTGGTTACTGGAGCCTATAGGCATCTACGACGTAAATGCGCCACCCACCTTGAGATATAAGCTCTAAGGTTTCAGTATAGTTACAACGGCTGCCCCAACCTTCAAACCGAAACGCATTACTGCTTCACGTCAGAAATAAGCGGGGTAGTGGTACCTACCCGTGCGGGCTCACAAGAGGTCCTACCACCAGTAATTAGTTTAAGTGAAATTTCGCTTAATACGCGACACTTATTTTTGTAATTAATTTATTTGATATTATCATCACCAGTTCGATGTTTTTTTATTGAATTTCAATGAAGTTTACTTCATGCAAATAACTGAAGAATGCTTTTTTGTAACGATATTTTTTCTAAATTTAAAGTTTTATAAGGCTCTCCTTTTATCCCTCGAAATACCAATACATAAATATTTAAGACTTTTTAAATAAAAAAGTACTTTGTGTAAAAAAACATTATCTGTTAATCTTCTTTATTTTTTTTTTATAGCCCTTGTAGGCAGACGAGTATACGGCCCTCCTGATGGTGAGTGGTTACCGTCGCCCATGGACTTCAGCAATGCCAGGGGCAGAGCCAAGCCGCTGACTACCGTTTAATACTCTCCACAAGCCTCGTTTGAAGAAGGACATGTCATAGCGCTCGGGAAACACCGTGGAGGGGAAGCTCATTCCATAGCCGGATGGTACGTGGCAAAAAAGACCTCTGGAAACGCACTGTGGATGACCGCAGTGGCTCCAGGTAGTATGGATGAACTCTACTCCGGTGGCGGGCGGTGCGATGGTAAAAACGAGATGCCGGTATCATCTAGAACAATTCCTCAGAGCACTTCTCAATTGAATTAAAATGCTTTAAAGGCTTTCCTTTTTATTTTATTTTGCTGATAACTACAATAAGATATATTTACGTTTAACATGTTGCTTTGAGATACCACTGACGACTATTTGTTATAATAATGTTTTGCTATTAAATTCAATAAGGAATTTAAATAAAAAAGACTTTTTTATTTTTTATTACTTAGATGGATGAACTAACTCACAGCCTACCTGGTGTTAAGTGGTTACTGGAGCCCATAGATATCTACAACGTAAATGCGCCGTAAATTGAGATATGAGTTCTAAGGTCTCAAGTATAGTTACATGCAATTAATAAAGCTCATTTTTTTTCATTGCACATCTTTAAACATTTATTAGTGAAATGAAATGAAAAGTTGATAAAAAACCAAGACGAATTACATCTACCTAAAGTAACCACCACATTAAAGTAAATGATATTAAAGAATGATATTCAAGCTTAATTCACTTCATAATATAGACAGCTGCTGTTTATGCACCAGAGTTCGATCGTCTTTCTACAACGCCAACAAAATAGAATATCTCAAGCACAACCGCATAGTGTTGCTATTAGACTTTAAAACGTTTTTATTTATTTATATCCTAGCGTGTAGATGAGCTCTCCGGGCTAAAACCCCAAGTGTTACTAGTACTGGCCCTAGCAAGAGCAGTGCTTCGCAAAATCTACCACCGGATCAGAAACGCGACCCACTGAGAAGATCCGGCGAGAAACTCAGTGGGCTGTGTCTATAGGTTAATTTACTCATCGAGTCCTTCGTCGCAAGCGACGGGTTCGGCCACGACGGTGATCGGTGCTTGAGGTACCTAAAAGCACCGTTAATGGATCGGGAGGATCCGTAATGACGTGTTTAGGGCGAAGAAAATGTAATATCCTTTAATTAATGTAACAATTAAGAAATAACGAAAAGGAACTAACAGAATCATTCACTTTTCATAGAGTAACATTTAGCTTCGTGAATCTGGATAATATATATAGTCTATAGAGGCGATGATATAATATGGTTTAATAAAAACTTATAATTGCTTTATTACTTATCGCACGGCATACTATAAGCTTGCACGGATATGTAACACCATACTTCGCATTATTGCCGTGAAGTAGCCATGTAAAATTATAGGCGTGGTTTGGGCGGTATTACCTATACAATATAATGTAGTGATTATGGTCTAAAGGATAAGACGTCCGATGCATTCGTATCATCAAGCGATGCAACTGTGTCGGTATTGAAATCCCGCAGGCAAGTATCAAATTGTCTATTGAACTGCGTCATTAACAAATGTTCACGATTGACTTCCATGGCGAATCAATAGCATCATGTAACAAAAATCTTGTGAGTTCGCACAGGTAGGTGCTACCACACTGCCTATTTCTGTAGTGATGCGTTTCAATTCGAATTGTGGGTGGTATCATTTACGTTGTCAATGTAGGCTCCGGTAACCTTAACACCAGGTGGGCTCTGAGATCATCTACCCATCTAAGCAATAATAAAAAAAACCACTGAGACTTCGATACAGACTTCACGTGTCAAAGTCGACGGCAACATTCACATTGTGATATCTATGGACTCTTACAGCCCCATAGCGCTAGGTAGTCCATAGACACAGCGCACTGAGTTTCTCGTCGGATCTTCTCAGTGGGTCGCGTTTCCGATCCAGTGGTAGATTCTGCGAAGCACTGCTCTTGCTAGGGTCAGTGTTAGCATCACTCCGTTTTGAGCCCCGTGAGCTCACCTACTAGTTAAGGTTACGCTGAAATAGCCTCTCAAGGCTATCAGCTTAGGTGGGGAAAAAGGTGCTAGTGCACCAATATATGCCATTAAAATAATACTAAGTACATTAATAATTTTGGTAATCGTATACCACCTACATTACGCTTTCTAGGAACCTTCCGGTAAGTCGGTTCTTATTAAGTGCTCATTTAAGCTATTCACAGTAAATGTGAACTATAACATTTTATGACGAAACCATGACCTTTAATATGTTCTAACGCCATGTGTATTACGCATTTATAGCCCTTTAATATTCTAAGCAGGCGTACATGTTTACCATTTTCCTTATGTGTGGGAATTTGTGCTTTTTTTTGAAGGTGGGTTTGCTGTAAGGGCCGCGTCCTTTCCTTGGTATGAGGCTGAGCTCGAGCTTGAGGGCACCCAGTGGAAATAAGTTTGCTAGTCGAGTGCATTTGGGGTAAAGCTTACTGCTCAAGAGTAAATGTTTCACAAGTGCATTGACTAATCTATCGGAATCTTGAACCGCTAAGATCTGGCGGGAAACTCAACATTCTGATGTTATGGGTTAAGTGTTAGGTCGGCCTCTTCAACGAGTTCGATTGAGTACGGTGATCTGTATTTGCTAATTTTAGGAATAGCCGCCTAAACCTGCAACCTATCAATCACTAACAACCAATAGAACCGAGACCAGATTTGATGGATCCCTTGAGATGGGTCTAAGGCGACAATAGTGGTTGGTTAGAGTTAGGTCGGAGCGTTCTGACTTTTAGTCAGCGGCAGCTAAAATAAGGGGCTTATCACGTTAAGGACACGAAGAAGCGTTTCGATGCTGTCTTCAGCTACTGATTGAGTCTGCTCTATTTGATTACGATTACATAAGTATATGTTGCTAAGTTGTAATTTTTTATTTATTCCTTAGATCGTTTATAAATAATAAAAAATAATTGCTAAGTACCATTTCCATTGCAATGTTGATGGACTACATATTTGAACCGGTTCAACTATTAATAGAGTTGTTTTGTTTTATTACTGGTATTTACATAGAACAACTCTCAATAACCATAAAGAACAAGTCCGTAATAAAAGTCGTTAAGTATATCAATCGGTAAGAAACATTTTATTCAGGTTGTCACTTAAACGGGATTTTGCGGTCTGGTATTAAACGGCAACATAGCCGGCAGGGGCAGCGAGATAGGGGGCCGAAGCTACCAGAGGGGCAGATGGAGCGACATAGGCAGCTGAAGCAACCGCCGGTGCGACATAAGCGGCAGGGGCAGCAACGTATGCAGCTAATCCGTTGTTGATGCGATGGTAGTATTGAGAGCTTGTTGCGGTTACCACTGCAGGTGCCGCCACCAATGGTGCGCTCAATAGTGTCGGCTTGGCGGCGGCGATGGCGACCAGCGCAGAGATGACTAAGATCTGAGAGAGAAAATAACGGAAAACTGATTAACTGGTACTTAACTGGTACTTAGCTGGTACCTAACTGGTATTTAGCTGGTACTTAACTGGTACTTAGCTGGTACTTAACTGGTAGTTAATTGTACTTAATTGGTACTTAACTGGTACTTAACTGGTACTTAACTGGTACTTAACTGGTACTTAACTGGTACTTAACTGGTACTTAACTGGTACTTAACTGATACTTAACTGGTACTTAACTTTTTAATATTTTGCCTATAATAAAAGAGCAATAATTTGGATCAATGATTCGAAAAATATAATAAAACTTAAATTAAATTCAGAAGTGCTTATAGCCCAGTGGCACTGTCAGTCATATGTACCGTAATTGATTTTATATTGCCAAAGTTGCACGTAACGTGAAACACGATGAAGATGTTTTAACATTAATTGTTCTAGAAAAAAGTACAAGAAACTTTTATAAAAGTACTCACAATTTTCATCATTTTGTTAGAGCTGATTGTGATGAATCAGGAATGCTTTTGGTCGGCTGTTGTGAGCATTATATAGGAGAAGACAAACGTCCGTGGCGCAATAGCAGCCCTCGCGGCGCGTCTCTGGCATTGGTTTACACGTGACTTGAATCAATTGGTACCTTTTAAGGATGCAACCATATTTCGTGAGCTCTCTCCTACGAATTCGTAATTAGACTTGATTGGCAAATGACCAATATTGATCGGGTATGTAAAACAAATTACCGGTCGGTAAAACGAATCCGTTTGCGTATCTTAGTATAATGCTATGCTAAGTTATGCTACAATGCTATACTATGCTAAGTATCTTTTAAATTTTGGGACATTCCAGTTCCAACACAATACAGTGTATACAGTACCTCAAGCACGAAAATCTATCGAATTCGTAATGTAAATGTATGGAGTCCTCGATACGAAAACGGATCACTACGTTAGATGGTAATATTATCAGGTGATGGTATCAGGCCCCTAACCCAGCTGGATAACAAAAGTTTCTTAAGGTGTTGATCGAAACTTTTCGAAGGTTTTAGTCGTGAGAAATGGTGACATCAACCAACACTGCTTGACGCACAGACCAGATTATTATCACAATATTAGGCTTATTAGCAACAATGTATGTAACCGTGATATAATAGATCGGTTCTAGTACAGCGTAACATGACAATTTTCAAGAACTGGTTGAGGTTGGTATTTGTAACAAGGAATAGCAGAATCAAGCAAACCATATTTCAGAGCAAGTTGTTGATCGATAATCCTAGTCAATTGGTTATGTCTATGTAAGTACTCGCCGTTAGCAAAACGAGGACAGCCAAAAAAAATATGTCTAACAGACTCTCCCGGACGGTGACATGCCCGACAAATGTCGACTGTCCCGTCCTTTAGTATATATTTCCAGTAGTTATTCGTCATGATAACTTCGTCCATAATTGCAAAAATAAAACCTTCAGTTTCCCTAAAGAGGTAACTGAATCGTAACCAGGCCACGTGAGCTAATTGGTTTACATCAGGCCCTGTGAGAGCCCGGTAGAACCTACCGTGAAACTCCTTGATCCGGCTATGCGTACCGAAATACACTTCACCTTCGGCCTCTTCCAATTCAATCAATTAATTATTAACTAGAGGTCCCGCAGTAGTCGAAATTCGACTATAATTAATTGGAATTGTAAGTTTGTACACTATTATGATTGCATTTTATACTTCTATAATCACAAATTTCGCCAAGGCTACACTATAAAAATATTCATAAAGACAAATAATATTTAATCTATTCTCAATTTGACAACAGACGTCAAGAACCAAAGTTTGACAATAAATAGTATGCATGCGTGTGTGCGTCAAATACATGGTATGTAGTGTGTGTATAATGTTTTCTTTATTGATTTCATGTACCTTTTATGCATTATTTTAAAAAAATATTAGCATTGTGCACTTCTTCTCTATATTCTTTATAAGTGTAGAAAATTTCATACTCCTCCGTCCGCGCAATTTTCGTAAAAAGGGATACAAAGTTTTTGCTTCACTTATTAATATATACTTAGATATCATTAAAATCTAAAATAGCTTAATATCACGATTGCGATATAACTGATTCACTTTTAATGTTTAATAAACGCCAAGAACCTTACTATACATAAGTAATTTAATTGAAAACTAGAAAACAATAAGAAAAAGAAAATGTCACGTAGTTCAGCCACGTGAATTCATATTCCATTACGTGAGATGCGAGTTTCAGAAAAAAAGGAAAAAAATTAACGTGATCGTGCACGTGAACGTCTTTAACTCCTTACAGTTATTTCGCTGTTTACTTCAAGAATAACAAAAATATATATATTTTTAAGAAATTGGAACAATTCGTTTATTATTCCAATGACTATATTGTTATGGTCTGCTATTATTATTACTTCAACAAATTTCGATTAGATGAGATATATCTAATATATAAAATTCTCGTGTCACAATGTTCGTTCCCATACTCCTCCGAAACCGCTTGACCGATTCTCATGAAAATTTTTATGCATATTCAGTAAGCCTGAGAATCGGCTACTATCTATTTTTACATACTCCTAAGTGATTAGGGTTGTCCCCCCTAACATTTTTTTTTATTTTGACTTTTTTTTTGTTATAATGAGGTATTATGTGGTTGAATGAGGTTTTGTTATTTTTATTATATATTCCCTCAACGTTCACAGCGCTACATGCCTCTTTCACTCATTTACCACATCCTTACACACTTACAATAAGTTAGTTTTTGTTTCTACACTAGAAATTCCCTAGAAATCTTATATATGGCAAAACAATGTTTGCCGGGACACCTAGTATATATATAATATTAATATTCTTATTGAGACAATCAAAATATTGAGAACGTATAGTGTGCAAATTATGCAATAATTAGCGATTTTCAACTTAAAAAAAATTGGTATAATAATAAAATTGGTAAATTATATTTAATATATAAATTAATATTTTCACGCGACTGAAACGATGTAAGTATGATCTTTACGAAATTTATCTCAACTAAAATTTAATTAGTTTCCTGATATATTTTAATTTAAGATATTCACGTACTTTTGTATTTTTTTTTAATAAATCCTTACTTATAAATGGCTTAATTCTGAGCCCTGTTTTCTTACATTATTTTTTAATTATTATTTTATTATATTATTTTATAATTATTTTTCGAACATTTTATATAGGGTTTTATAATAAAATAGACGATTGAGTAATTTCGTAAACAAAGATTTAATAGGAATACTTGCGAAATTTTGGGGTCTTTATTAATGTTAGTAATCTTACGCAATTACATTATTATATTTAATTGTAATTCGAAACACAATAATGTACTTACCCACATGTTCTTTAGTCTGAACGATCTGTAAAGTTTCAATCCTTATGATAACAATAGAATAAAAGCCTTTGCTTATTGAGGTACAATTGTGGCGGTAAATATTTCAATGAGACACAATGGTTAATCCAAAGGGACAATGGGTTTGGTAAGCGATTACATTTTCGGAAACGTGGTAGGCCATGTGCTCCACTGTGGCATTCATTTTAATATATTTAATTATAGGTTTTAAATATGCTACCTTGAAAAATATGTTATTGAACTTGGATGTCGTAACCTATTATTTAAAAAAAAAAACCCTAAACTTTTAAAGTTTGCGTATTAGTAACATGAAATTAATGTACTCTAGCAACATGGACTTTTGTTAGCGTTTTTCTATAATTAAATTACGATTTTCAAGGAATAGACCAATCATTGAACACTTAGGGCGCTCAAGAAAGCAGCGGAATATTCGAAAGGTCGAATTATTGAACCTAAAACGAGTATTCATATCACAAATTTCCTAAAATTGGTCATACAACGAATTCATAAGAACCAGTGAAGCAATGGTGTAAGCCGATTCATATTACGGTACTAATAATTCGGAAATCTAGAAGTAGACTATTGAATAAGGAATAACGTAAACAAAGCTTATTGTAATAAAGCAGCTGTTGCAATATAAGCTTAAAATAGTCGACTAAATAAATTACTGATAATCAGGCATTTTGAGAGCCCGCACGGATAGGTACCAGCACACCTCTGCCAATTCCTACCGTGAAGCAGTAATAAGTTTTAGTTTAAAGGGCGGCGCAGCCGTTGTGCAGAGCCTTAGAACTCTTCTCAAGGTGTATAGCGAGATTAACGATGCTGATCTCTATGGGCACCGGTAACCACTTAACACAAGATGGGCCGTGAGCTCGTTCGCCCATCGAAGCAATAAATAGATAAAAACTACGTGCTAGTTATGAGTTAAGCTAAGTATAAGCTGAGTTAAGATAATTAAGCAAAAATACAGAAGTGAAATGTTCAGTTTTATGGTTTTTCTCTGATCTGAATAACAAAATAATAAGTACGAAGGTATATATTATATGTCTCGGTAAGGATTCCAGTGACCAAGTAATAATATTATGTTGACCGCCATTGCAGTATTTTTTTTATTGCACAGCTATCTATTTAGCCAGTCAGTAGCTTCGAGGAGTTATTTTAGCTTCATTCGGTATGTAGATGAGCTCGCGGGGCTCAGCCTTTTGAGAGTTTGATAACATCTACCCTAGCAAGAGCAGTGCTTCACAGAATCTACGACCCAATCGTGGCCGATGCTTGAATGCTTAAAAGCACCGAGAGTGGATCGAATGGATTCAAAATGAGTCGCTTAGGGCGTCGGCCGCTGCAAGTTTTGTAGAGTCATCTTAGTGCGAAGGAACAAGTTACTTCGCTTACAGATCAAGGGATTTGTATTATTTTAATGAGGGGAAGGTATGTTATCCCTCTGTTGATGTTGACCTTTAGATATTTATCTTTCGCGCCTTCAAGGTATAGGCTGGCCAAAGGGGGTGACGGCGAATGTCATTACCGCACCTAAAATGGTGTAGGATACTCCAAGTGATATCGGGAGGGCGACCCATTTTGAAGAGTATGGCAGTCCTTTTTGTGTGGTTGATGTCGATACTCCACTTCCGGTACCATTATCCCGTGTTAGTCCCTGTGGTCTGGAGTTTCCGATGGATAAATGACGTTTTCCTATTCGAGTAGTAGATAGCTGTATCATCGGCATACAGGGCTACGCCGGCGACCGGGGTAAGTCATTAAAATGCAAACTAAATAGTAATAAGCGAAGTCTTGTGGGACTCCAGGTGAAATTTGAGATGGGAGAGAGCGGGCTACTCTTACTCGATACCGAAACCTACGGTTCGAGAAAAATCATTAGAGTAACTAGAACTCAAAACAGTTAATCTAAGTCTAAAATGAAGATGTAAAATTTGTAGTTATAAAATGACATATGATGTGTTTGTTATTGACGGACGCAATAAACTCACTGCTTCAAGGCCATTTTAAGCAGTTTTGTTATTTTTTTATTAAAAACTAGCTGAACCGGCAGACTTCGTAGTGCCTGAATCGATAAATAAGAGACCTAAACTTTTGTATAAAATAAACTTAAAACAAAAAAATGGAATCCGTCCGACGGGGGACACATCACAGGAAAAACAAAATTGTTATTTTTTTTTTATT